GGAACATGTTTTTCTATGAGAAATATTAAGGATAAATTTTATCATGATTCTTGTCAACACCTTTATTTTGTCTTAAAGAGGGAGAGGGAGCTTTCTACCATGTTATAACATCCCCTCATCAAAAACATGCCTGAAGAGATCTGTACATGTTTGAGTGATTTAGGGGTGTCTCACACACACTATTTGAGCCCTCTTACGCCACCAGTTTTTTATAAATATGCAAAAGCAACTTCACTAACTCAGAGTGATTTTGAGCAGGGAGCATGTTCATATGTTGTTTTCTACGGCTATAGATTTTCCAAAACAGTAAAATGTAACATGGTGATCTAAATGTGTTAGATGTTAGCAATTAATGCCCCATGAGGCAAATAAAGTTTGTTCTGGGAGTTGACGGGAAGTGAATGATAAATCAATCAATCAATCAAATAGATTTAAGTGCTAGGGTTAATGAGTTATTATTAGTATTTATTTGTATTAGTATTAGCTAATTGTTGAAATGCATTGCCTTGTAGTAAGTCATGGTTGTGGTGGTTCCTCTGTGCAGGTGGCGACAGCAGTCCAGTTCTTGAATGGTTTGGGTTTGATCCATGCAGACCTCAAGCCTGAAAACATCATATTGGTTGACCACGTATCCAGTTACCGGGTGAAGGTCATAGACTTTGGGTCGACTCACTCCTCCTCCTTTGTAAAGAAAGGAGATGTAGTGCAGACGGGTTGTTACAGTTAAGATACTTTATGCCTTATTTGGCCATAAATAAAAAAGAAAAGAACATTATACCAAATACACCGCATTATGAGAATTTTGCTGTGGGTGTTATATGAAAGATCTCATTAATACATATTACATTTGTACATATTGAAAGTGCTGTGTAGTTCTTCATATTAAAGTTGTTGCTTGTGTTCAGGGCTGCGGAGGTGCTGGTGGGGATGCGCTACAGTGAGGCGATTGAGATGTGGTCCTTGGGCTGTGTCGCCTTGGAGATGCTCTCAGGAAAAGTGCTGTTTCCTGGATGCAACATAAACGACATGGTACCAGTCACATACTTTACTGTACTCACTATAACTCATAGACCTGGTTAAGACTAGTCCCGGTTTAGTCCTGGTTTTGCTCTAGTTTAGACCAGATTTAGATCTGGAATTGTGCACAGTTATCTCTAATAAAAAGTTTTGTGTTGCAGCTGTGTCACATTGTACGAACGGTGCTGATTCCTCCAGATTCAGTCCTGAGGGCAGGGAAGTTCACGAACAAGTACTTCCACAAGATGACCACCAAAAGCACCATCGTCTGGAAACTCAGGGTTCAGCTGTATATTTTTATAATGTGAGGTTTGGGTCAGTTAGGTCTGATGATATGTAAACAATCACAGAGAATCATAGAGACAGTTAAATCTACCTGATTTTCAGTGTCTTAAAACAGAAAAAAAAACTAGTTAATTTTCCTTACTTACCTTGCAATGACTATACACCAACCAATAACTAACATGCTAGCCACGCACTTCCTGATCATCAGGCAAAAAAATGCTTTCTAATATAGAGTAGACAGTGTGCAGGAGACTTATTTTGACCTCAGAGCTGCTTATACAATATATCTGTACTGGGGACTTAATTATTTATAGATGTTTCACTATATATTTATATGGGTAACTTCAAAGTTTTCTCTGAATTATTGTATTGCCTGAACAAACCTTGTTCCGGCAATACAATGCCAGGGTTTAAATGTAAACTTGAAATTCTTTTTATTAAGTCATTTTTTTCTCTTTTTTTCAGTCGAACAAACGCTGTTATTTTGAGAGGACCATCAACCGCTTCTCTGCAGTTCACAGATGATGTTGTTGATGGTGCTGGCTTCATCAAGCCAGGACCTGCAACATGCACTGGGGCGGTTTACACCCAAGTGTGAAGCAGCTGGGATGAAGATCAGCTCCTCCAAATCCAAGGCCATGGTTCTCGAAAGCTGGCATGTCCTCTCTGGGTGGGTGGGGAGTCCCTGTGCAGGAGTTCAAGTATCTCGGGGTCTTGTTCACAAGTGAGGGGAGGATAGAGTGTGAGATTGACAGGTGGATCGGTGCAGCGTTGGCAGTGATGCAGTCACTGTATCGGACCGTTGTGGTGAAGAGGAAGCTGAGCCAAAAAGCAAAGCTCTCGATATCCCAGTCAATCTACGTTCCTACCCTCAACTATGGTTATGAGCTTTGGGTAATGACCGAAAGGACAAGATCGTGGATACAAGCGGTTGAAATGAGTTTCCTCCGCATGGTGGCTGGGCGCTCCCTTAGAGATGGGGTGAGGAGCTCAGTCACATTGGAGGAGCTTGGAGTAGATCTGCTGTTCCTTGTGGCCATACCGGCTTGTCAAAGCCTGATCCCGTCAGATCTCAGAAGCTAAGCAAGGCCAGGCCTGGTTAGTACTTGGATGGGAGACCGCTGGGAAAATCAGGAGCCACAGTGGGGCGTCAGTCACAAAAATTGTTGTGTCCTTAGGCATGGCACGTCACCCACATTGCCTAGTATGAAAGTGGTGTGATGGTGGTGGTCGGAGGGACCGATGGCACTGATTGGCATGGCAGCTGTGCTTCAGTCAGTCTGCCCCAAGGCAGCTGTGGCTGTGTGGCAATAGTAGCTCCCTACCACCGGGTATGGAGTGAATGAATAATGCTCTGTAAAGCGTCTTTCTGACAAATGTCTGAGAAATGTGCTATATAAATGAAAAAACTTACTTACGTAGAGAGGAGCCAGCTGAGGTTGCTCGGGCATCTGTTCCAGATGCCTCCTGGATGCCTCCCTGGAGAGGTGTTCTGGGCATTTCCCACTGGGAGGAGGCCCCAGGGAAGACCCAGGACACGCTAGAGGGACCATGTCTCTCGGCTGGCCTGGGAAAGCCTTGGGATCCCCCAAGAAGACCTGGAGGAAGTGTGTGTGTGGGGAGAGAAGTCTGGGAGTCCTTACTCAGGCTGCTGCCCCTGTGACCTAGCCCCGTATAAAGCGGAAGAAAATGGATGGCTAGATCTTGTATAGCTGCAGTTTCTCAGAGGAAGTTGTGTTTATGGTGTCTATGTAATTGTGGCTGTACTCATCATAAAGGCTTATGGGCAAGTAGCAGGCTTGGTGGTAACGCAGGGGGCAGCCGCTGGGAAGCTCATAGCTACCTGGGGTAACGTGTTACCATTGTTCACCACTTTTGCTTTTTTTTTTTATGTTGGAGACATTCTTTAATTTTATTTATTTTCATCACATTTTTACCAAACTGTAAAAGAGTGCCGCATGAGCTCCCTGATATTTTTGTTTTGCCTTCCCAAATACGCACATTAAACTAAAGTGTACCACTTTTGGATCTTCCTCTCCCTAAACTGCTCTGATACAGGATCTGCTGACCCTACCTGACCAGGCCTTCTGTTAAACTGCACTCAGACCTTTGACTGAGACACAAAGGCAACTGAGAAGTGCAGTATAAATGTTGCTGCAGCAAAACTTGAATTTCCCTCATCACCAATAAAGTATCACGCTAAGCTGTAACACATGAATCTATACCACTACGTCTTAGTGCAGGGATGGGCAATTATTTTTTCCATGGGGCCACATGAGAAACAGAAAATATTGTGGCAGGCTGGGCCAAAATGCTTAACTCAGTTCTGCATAATATTAATTGTACGCACACATATTCCTTCATTTTATATGTGAATTAAAAAAAAACACTTCTAAACAAAAAGCAATGCAGCTTTAGTCCCTGCATGAGGTAAAATTATAAAATATGTTTATTTTGTAATTCCAAATTAGTTTAAAGTGGTCGATCAAAGTCAACCAAAGAGCCGTATGTGGCACTGGAATGTACAGTGCCCAGGCCTGTCTTAGTGTTTTGAGAAGTCTACTGCTTCTTCTGTTCTTGCGTCAACTAACTTCTTAATATGAACGTAATTCTCAGTTGTTGTGTCCACTCATAAGAGAGCACTGATTGCTTAAAAAAGCTACAGGGGAATTATAAAATGTCAAAGACTTTTATCTTTGTTGCATGGTTTATAATGTCAATGATATATTTTTGGTTTATTTTGATATACTGTTCTTATATATCCCAGAACTAACAAAGTCCCTTTCTCTCGGCCACGTGATTTAAACTGAAGAGCAGCGGACTGCACACTGATTATGCCATGAGTATCCTATCGTCAAATTACATTCTCAAACACTGCCACATCAGCCTGTTCCTCCCTAAGATAGACATTAGTATTTTGAAGTGAACAAGGACTGTTTATCATGGTGTGAAGTTACTTTTGTTACTTTAAACGAGCCTACCCTTTAATTTAGTTTTTTCTGCATCAGATTTTTTTTCTCTGTAATTTTCAAAAATGTAGGCTACATTAGATTAGCCTTGATTGGTCTCAAAGGCTGCATATAATTTTCGACTGCTGTAAGTTATAGGCATGCAGTCTCTGGTTATAGGCTAGACTGGTCACCAGAGGGGGCACAAGTGTACTTTTGGTATGATTTGGCGTCTTTTTGCTTATACGAAAGGCTCCCACTTAAATACAGCTACATAAACTGATCATCCATTATAATCCTGCCCAACGTTGGTAAATAAACTGCCAACCTTCGTTAAGTATCTTCATGGGCGCGTATAAATGATAGATACGGTAAGGACATGCTTGTCACACTGAATGAACGAACTCTTACATAAGAAACACGTAATACCCTGTGTTTTGGCTCCATTGCTGATATTTAAGAATAGCAAAAGTAATATCAGACGTAGGTATCAGAATAGCCGACATGGTCTGGCTGCGTAGAGCATAATCAGGAGTGGGGCCAACTCCTGAGGAGCCAAAGCCACTGGACGTCTCGTAATGCAGTGTTCTCCACACGCTCATAAGCAGCTCGTACATTCCGCTCTGCCCCCCGCGCCATTGGTCCGCCCGCACGTCAGTCATATTTCCCCGCGGTGAACTTGCCTCTGATTGGCTGCCGGGGCCTGCACGGAGGAATCACGCACGCCATTGGTGGAAAAACTAGGTTAGTGGTCCGACAGGCATGACGGTGAAGAGAAACTGGGTCACCGACAGAAAATCGTTTATGTCACAGTTCTATGGACTGCTATTACGCGTTATTCACTGACTTTAAATGGATCCTGACTTCTGCTGAATGTACTGTAAGTATGACATGATAACGGGACTGCTATGTGTCCGTGGCATTGCACTGTGGGGTTTGCAAGGCTTCAATCCGCGTCTCGTAGCGTCGATGTTTTCCCATCGCTGTGGTCATGTCAGTGTGGTTTTCTGGAGCAGGAGGAGGGACGCTAGCTGCTGGCCAAGTCCTCACAGTTAGCTTAGCTATTAGCGCTATGCTACTATTTGGTGTCGAGGTTAATATAGTTGAAATACAACGCAGTGCCTTTTATTTATATACTATTCTTTGTCGGAGTAAATGTGTCAGTCCATAAACCTCGAACTAAGAAGCTCGATGTTTGGTAAGTACCAGGGGATGTGCTTACTAACGTGACCCCAGTAGTGCGAACCATGCTAAAAGGCTAAGCTAAAGCTATGTAAACAGGCCTCGGTGGGCTTCTCCCCCCATACCCAATCTGTTGTCGGGACTGGACATCGGTGGGTCCATCGTAATGTATCTGAATCACATTGCGCTCGCACGGTGATCGTAGCACATACCGAGCTATTAGCAGGACACAAGTGTTAAGCCAGGGTGGTTATAACATGTATCGTGACACTGTGTTGGCATAAGCTGTGGAAATGTGTGTGACTGCTGCTTCTGCAGTCCTCTGCGGCGTGTGCCAAAGGATGACTTCTCAATGGACAACTTTATGATAATGCAACATATACGATTTACTTCTTTCGAATTTATCCCAAACATCTAATATTTGCACAATATCGCGTGAGTGTACTTAACAAACATACATTGTAATATGCTGGTAATCTTGATTTATTTGATACTTGTCTGACATATCACGTTTTTTTAAAATCAAAATTTGTGCAGTTAACGTTTTTTCATTTATATTTTTTCACAAACACACACACACACACACAGAGTGTAATTGGTGACTTCTACCCATCACCCACCGAAGGTGCAAGTGAGTATTTAAGAAATTTTGTTTGAGTATAGAGCTTCATTAAAATGTCGAAACACTGAATCACTATATTTGAGATTTCACCAAAAGATCAGCTTCTTGGGGATCAGGTCCTGATATATGAGATGCTGGGACCTACGGCCATACAGTTATGATAAATATGATAAAGATGCAGCATATCCATGCATTTCAGGGTGAAAATCTTGCTCTGTTGCCATAGTAATTAACAGTTAAAATTAAGTATTGTGCCTTTTGAATGAACAATAATCCTCAAAATACCACCTATTAACAAGAAGCTGACACTCATGGCTAGAGACCATCTGTCCCGCTAAACTGTGGAGATACTTAAATTAACAGATGTCTTTCAGGAAGAAAGAATCCTAATTTAGTTTGATCTTAAGTTATTTGGAGATGGCAGCATTTTAACATTTAAAACATTTTGCTTTCCAAAGCAAAGTAAACCTAAACCTAAAATTCTATTGGCCATAATAACTTATCATGATTCTCTAACAATGCTACCAAGGTGTGATATTTTGCTGAAGAAAATATAGAAGAATGTAAAGCAAAATATTGAAACTAATGTATTATCTGGCAAAAAATATTTTAAATGTACAACATCATTAAAACATGATCTGCAATGGATACATGGCAGAATAAAACACGTACACACTACACCTAGCTAGTTTGCATTTATAATGTGCCATAGTTATTTATTCAACCCTCTACAGCATTTATAATGTGCCATAGTTATTTATTCAACCCTCTACAGCTCAAATCTAATTGTACATGTCTGAAAAATAACAAAACATCCACACTAGTACAAAGAAAAAGTACTTTCAATAAATAGTTAACCTCCTCCAAAAAAATATTTTATCTGAAATGAGAAAGTATTAATGGTGTAGTATTACTGAAGGTGTTGTGTATTGATTTACATTATTTTATTATTGTAGATGGGGATCTCTAAAGTAATAATTACTGCAGAGTAAGTACTCTAGCCCTGGTTAACACCACCTTGAAGTAGGGCCGGGCGATATGGTGATTGAATTGCATTCTCATCCCTATGAGGATCTGCTATCTGCTACTTGAATAGAGCTCTACCCGCAAACACTTTTCCCTCTCACGTCAGCTTCAGCAAAGAATTTTCAGAAGAAGATGTTGACTTTAGTTTCCTCTGCAAGGAAATATAAAGAAACAAAGTTTAAATGAAAAATGAGAAAATAGAAATTTGTCTCTAAAAAAAATCATGATATACATTTTTTGGCATGTTGCCCACCCCTATTTTGATTCTGCTAAATTTCTTTTTAGCCATGATTTAAAGTATTGTAAATTGAATATTTAGAGGAGAATGCGGTATATGTGGTATGTAGTTTTACCCAGGCCAAACAGTAATGGAAAAAAAAAAAAACATAAAGGACTGAGAAACAGCATGGATTTTCTCAGAATCAACAACTGAAGCACCAAACTATTGGCCATCGCAGGTAAAAGAAGTAATATATTTTGTTCTGATTGTTATGACAATATTCTAGAAGAAATCTTTTCCATATTTGAATGGCTCCAGACTCTTGGATTTGAACAGAATATAGAAGGGAAATTGGCTAGACAGGTATTACTTTTTTTTTTGCATTATTCCAGATTTATTTAAATGCATCAAGAGGCTGAGTTCTGCAGCACAGTGTGAGGGAGAGATGAGAGAACTAGTATGTGCTCTGCTCTGACTCAATGCAAATAAACCGCAGACGTAAATGTGAGTGTGTGTTAGCTGGACGCCATAATCAGACTCTTTCCACATAAACTATCCAGACTTCAAAACAGTCAGTATTTCAGACTTATTTAGGTAACTTTTATTTTACACAACTTTGAAATTATCCTCCTATGTAATATTTTAAACAAATTATGCTTCTACAATTTAGTTGTGTTTTTTTTTTCCAGGTTTTTAGATTATAAAAATATTGCTTGTGTGTGGAAGTAGTTGGACGTTTTGTATGATTTAACAGACATCAGCAGTGGGTGTAAATCATTTTTAAAGGATATCTGTGTGATGTGCTGTAAGTGCTTCAGGGGCTAGTACGCACAGTGCAGTGAGTCTTGTACAGTAGCAGGTCACTAGGGTCATTCTCCTTTTTGTCTGATCATTAAATAGTTGGAGGATTCAAGATACAGATTTATATTTAGCCTATAATTAGTTAATGTCTCGTGCGATGTTGTGGTTAGGCAGTGGCTAAAGGCCAGATTTCCTGAAGCACCTGTGTGAGTGCTCGGAGCCAACACTTACATGAATGACTCACTGGTTCATGCCTGTGTTGTTCATAGAGAGATCATAAAGCTGCAGGCATAATATGGTGAGAATATGTTTTTAAATAAACCCTGTGGATTTGGTGGAGGCTGCTAATCAAACTGGCTTTGTTTTTGAACTCAATCATGTATGTCTTTTGTGGATCTGAGTCCACCGAGCTATTATGCGCGACACATTTGAGCATTTTATAATTATAATGGAGTTGCAGCATTTTTGTGGGTAGTTTTACAGTAATTTCACGAAGTAAAAGAACTGGACTGTCAACTGGGCAGAAGTTTTTAAGATGACCAGATCTGAAGAAGCCACATGGATGAGAAATGATTATTATTTTGCAATTGAGTTTACCTGGGTGACTGAGGGATTACACTGATGTCTTTTCACATTTAGCTGATTCTTAAACCTCTATTTTCAGACATTTCCCTCACCTGGTCTTTGTTCAGGCTCACCTGTGCTCTCTGGTCATCTTCTGTCAGCTGGCACACTGTCAGACATATAAACAGATAAAGTAACTAGCATCTAGTGGTGATATGTGAAAATACATCATGGCTGGGCTCACCAGTTTAGAATGGTAGTCTTAATCTCTCTTTCATCTATATTTCCACTTAGTGTCTGTGCACTATGCTTGTATATTTGTTATTGTCCAGAAATGTCTCCGGCTCAGGCTTTTCACCTATGTTAAACTCGGAGTGGCCCATACCACTCCAAACCTGTTTTCTGGAACAGGAATGGGTGAATTGGCCTAAGTGGAAAGGTTAGTCTTCTCCCTAGCACCTAAAGGCAGCTTTACTATTGTCCTTGTTGTGGAGGAGTGGTTCTGGAGCAGTATCTCAGTTTGAGTACTGGAGTCTGCAACTGACTCATTGAGGCAGAGGAGGAGGAAGATGAGGCGGCTGGACCGTAGAGACTGGCTGACCCAGTTTCCAGTCCCACTGTAGCTCCTCCAGTGTCTTTGTGACTCTGTGGTTTTCCCTCTGTAGCTCCTCCAGTGTCTCAATGTCTTTGTGGCTTTTCCTTCAGCTCCTCCAGTGTCTCTTGTGTCTCTGTGGTTTTCCCTTCAGCTTGTCCAGTGCCTCTGTAGTTTTCCCTCTGTAGCTCCTCCAGTGTCTCTGTGGTTTTCCCTTCAACTCCTCCAGTGTCTCTGTGACTCTGTGGTTTTCCCTCTGTAGCTCCTCCAGTGTTTCTCTGGTTTTCCCTTCAGCTCCTCCAGTGTCTCTGTGATTCTGTGGTTTTCCCTCTGTAGCTCCTCCAGTGTCTCTGTGGTTTTCCCTTCAACTCCTCTAGTGTCTCTGTGACTCTGGGTTTTCCCTCTGTAGCTCCTCCAGTGTCTCTGACTCAGTGCTTTTCTTTCAGCTTGTACAGTGTCTCTTGACTCTGTGGTTTTCCCTTCAGCTCCTCCAGTGCCTTTGTGACACTTGTTTTCCTTCAGCCTGGGTCTGTCCTGACCCAGCCTGTGTTCACACCTCACCTCAGTCCCAGCCTGCTCTGCTGCCGTCACTGCACGTCACACACCAGGGTCATACATGCTGTTCTCACTGTGCTCCATTCACTGAGTTACATTTTTGTCTCAAAGCTGCACTGGTTTGGTTCATTACATACAGACATGATAGGTGCACATATATCAGTCCATGAAGACATAGTGACTCAATGGAATGTCCGTAAATAGGGCTGGATGATTTTGGAAAATGTCCTTTTGTGACTTTTCCTTTTACAACTTCAAATTGCTAGCAGATTTTATAAAATGCCACAGGATTTGGCTAGAGAGGCAATAAAAAATCCAATTGTGATCAAATCCAGTGTCTGTGTTGAGCAAAAACAGTTCCCCTTCCAATTCTCCTGTTGGTCAGTCTCTGTCATACTCTGAGTGAGTGACAGGCAGATTTAATCAATCACAGTGAAGTGTGAACTTTCAGAATCTGCTGATGACTTTGGTTACCCCCTTAATGAAGGATGAAAATATACTAACTGCATGAATGGGAATGAATATGAAATTGTGATCTCAGCTCTAAAAACTGTTTAATATTGTATTGTCCACTCCCCACAGTCGTAATGGCTCTGAATGTTATTGATAAAAAAGGATTGAGTATGAGTAGTGTGTCTGCACATTTCACATTTAAAACACAACACTCTCCACATTACTGATGACTTTTCAATGTTTGTCTCTCTCCAGAGTTGGACTAGTTGTGCCTGTAGCTGAAACATAAGATCATATCGAGGCAAGGAGGACTAAACCCCACCAAACCGAATGAAACTAGGTCAGACCGAATCCCATCAGACCCAGACCAATTCAACACGGAGCAGACCAGACTGATCCACCCAAAGCCAGGGCCATCCAGGAGCGCTGTTCCAGTCTCCAGTCCAGGTAATGACTGCAGTCTCCTCTCCAGCTTCATACAGTCAGGCTTTCTGTAAGGTCACTGGATTATTATTGGTTATGCCAATAAAGAGGAGGAAGCTACTTGGCCAAAGGCTAAACTGTGCGACCGATGGTGGGTCAGAGCTTAACCTATATTTCCAGTCAGCGTCTTTCAAGAGTCTCACTGGTGAACTGGTGTTGGTCTGGTCCCTGGAGTGTAATCTAGCAGATGGACCCCTGTAGTTTAAATTGGTAAAACAGATGTCAGAATAAATGGTCACACATGGTCACATTTTTATATAGTGCTCTTCCACCTTCAAGGCACTCAAAGCGCTTTACAAGAATACAATGCATTGCAATGCTTGGATTCACATAATAATCAAATCGTATTGTTCTGCACAGAGTCATAGCAATTGCTTGTGCCTGTGCCTTTTTGGACTGTTAGTTTGATCTATTAGTGTTGGCAAACAATTCAGAAAACTGTTAACAGGACTAAACATGTAATTTCTGAGAAATACAATGGCTATAGACCAGGTGACTTACATTATTAAACAAGCTGCACACATTTCTTTCATTCAGCACTGGGAATTCTTTTACTTCAGGTCAAATGACATTATGAACTGATGTTCTGAAGATGGCACACTGAGTGAAAACGAATTACTAACTTTTGATTTAATTATCAACTTTATAATATATAACTAAATGTTAAATTCTGTACAATCACATGTATGATTGTATGTTTGCTGTGTGTCTGAAGGAGATGTTATTTTGTGTTCTGTTCATTGTGTTTGTTTGTGATTGTGCTACAACTTTGCCATGACCTGGTTCAAGCTCCACATAACAGACTGAATACTATACATCCAGATATAAGGACAATGGCAGCTTCCTGTTCACGTAGCTGACCCAGATGAAGGTCTTTCTCTGAGCTGTTTTACTCACAGTAAATTGTTAAAGGGTAAATCTTCTGTTTGTTTGTTCATAGTTGAGGGCTCCAGTGTGGATGGAAGGAGATGATTTTAACACAGAAGCTGTGATGAACATCTGTGGTGAGTATTCAGACACTCAGACTCTCTCTGGGAGGCAGTAAAGAAATGTATCACACAACCTTTTACACTTTACACTGGACTTTTTGTGCTCAATACAACAGATTTACCTTGAGGGCCATCAGTAGAGATGTCACTTCTTATTTAACACACCACATTGGATTCACTACAGAAAAGAGTTTAAAAATTGGTCGTTTTGTGTTTTCTGTACATGTGTGGGATTTGTTAGGGACTTTTTAATTGCACAACACTTTACGACAGTCTAATTTAAGTAGTTCACATTCATACACCAGTGTGCACACACACAAGAAGCAAGGTGAGTGGAGATATGGCCTAGATTTTTTTGTCTGACATAAATTAATTTCAATTCTCACATTCTTTTAATATGTCTATTGATGTTTTTAGCATCTGCAAAGCCTCCACAGCTAGTCTGGGTATTAGCTGTAGCAATTATATGCAAAATCTGTCTACATTCCCACGCAACTACTGTGCATGTGCTCATATATTGTAATATTCATTATTTTTAATATTGCCTCCAAATGATGATGTACCATATCTCTCAGCACTCTCCCATCCAAGTGCTACTAACCAGCCTAATACCAGCCCATTATTAGTTCAGTCTGGTCTGATAAGACAAAGACAAAACAGCGGTCAAACAAAACAATTATGTAAAATATGTAAAATTATAGGCTACTGCTTAAAACTCAAGCAGTAGCCTATAATTTTACAGTCACAGCTGAAAGAAATCTGTATATGACATAATTCTTGATTAATGCAGTCACTGGAACATAACCCAAGGCTTTGGAGCTAAAATTATAGTAGGCCAATCATATACAAAAATGTTTGGCCTGTCATGTTATTACCCCTCTCCTGGCCAATAAAAATACATTTATACTGAGTAGTATGAAGAGATTGTCTTCACAGTAATGACAGTGTTTTTGTTCTTCAATAAAAATTTGTCTAAGTATAAGTATTCATTTGTGGAAATGACCTGATGGCAGATAAAAGGATGGACATCTCGTCTACCATGTCATACATTTATGCATATTTATTACTAGGGATGTAACAATAACCAAAATATTGTGATATTGTATTGTCAGAAGTCTCACAGTAATATCATGGACCATGAAAATATATCAAATTACAAGTTGCTTAAATACATTATTATGATGCAGCAACAGCTAAAAAAACAGAACTTCATACACCATGATCCTTTGCTCTGTTTGTCCACCTACATGGTGAAATAACTGTTATTAAGCACTTTTAAATCTTAATCATTTGGATTATGATGAGAGAAAAGTTGCATATTCATAATTTTGTTAGCCTTCATAAAATATTCCAATGAATATCGTGAAAGTATGTTATCGAGACATTTGGATATTGTTACAACCCTAATTTTATACTGTACTATCATTTAGAGGGTTGGGTATCATTAAAAAGTTGCCAATACGATACATACCTCGATACTTAGGCCACAATACTTTACACATCTCGATACAGTGCGCTTTTGGTTTGATACAATATATTTCAAATCGATTCGATACGGTTCATTAAAAAATAATGGCTAATTCATGGCTGTGATACTAAAAGTCTTTGTTAAACCACTTCTTGTGCAAAGTTCATATGAAACATGCACAGTTTAATCATCAAAACAGCGATAATGTCAAATGTGTCATATAAATGAGTTTCCTTTCTCTAAACGCAACAAAACTGTAGCGCTGTAACAAAATAATTTTGTAAAATATACTAAAAATGCTCTTGATGACATATCGATACAACAGTCCCCGATATAGATACTGTATCATCACATTAAATTATACGATATTTCGATATTTTTACACACCTAATTATTTATGTTGCATTTATATTGAATAGTATTAAGAGTGGGGCTAGGTATCATTAAAAAGTTGCAGATACAATGCATACTTTGATATATAGAGCACAATACGTTGTTTGATACCGTGCACGTTCGATTCAATACAGTTCGATACAATATATTTCCATTTGATTCGATACACTTCACAATATATGTGTACAAAACTGTAAAATTTTCCTTTCGCCAAACAAGCAACACAGTTGTAGCTGTTTCACAAAATAATTTTGTAAAATATACCAAAAAGACACTCTTGGCAATCTATTGATATAGCAGCCCATGATATCAATACTGTATAATCAAATTAAACAGTAGATATATCGATATTTCAATGTTTTTATACACCCCTAATTAAGAGATGACATTCATTGTAATGACAGTGTTTTCATTTGTGCAGATGACCTGATGGCAGATCAAAGGATGGACATCTCGTCTACCATGTCAGACTTCATGTCCCCGGGCTCCACTGATCTCATCTCCAGCTCCATCAGCACGCCCGGCATGGACTACACCCGCAAGAGGAAGGGGAGCACCACGGACTACCAGTGAGTGCACACCACTACTCACACAGGCTCCTCTCACTGAGCCTGTTGTTATATCAAAACTACATCAAATAAATATTAAAATTGAAAAAAAAAAAAACAGTAAAGGTGCATTGTGTAACTTTTCTATTGGAGGGTCTGTCAAATGCTTTGTTGTTATTGCTTTGTTGAGCATGTTCCACAGTATGGTATTATACCTTTCTATTATCTTGGAGCCCAAACCAGACCAAGTTACAGGTCAAATCTATGGAGAGGCAACCTTGCTCAGAGTCAGAATGCCTGTTTTTCTAGGTATTTTACAGATATAAAACCACCTGTAATTTAATAAATGTAAGTTAGAGGTGTTTAATGTTATATTGTGGAACATTCCAGGCAGAGCAATGATATATCCATGGAAACAAGCAGGTGACGGACCACCAGTCAAAAAGTGACATGGTGTACCTTTAATTAGAATGTGAAGTGATGGTGTTACTTGCACATTTTGATGAAGTAGAACATACTGGATCATGCTAATTGGAAAACCATATAAATGCATAATTGGTAACATAATTAACTGTTAATTCAGTGTTGTCATGTAACATACAAACAGAAAAACTGATGGTATAAATTTGTGCTTCTTTACAGAATTGACGGATTTTCATTTGAGTAAGTCTAAACATAAAACACAGACATAAAAATGAAATCTTGTATTTTTTCTGTAATGATTTGTGACTAAAGTCTGAGCCCTTCCCTGTGAACTCTGTTTGACTGTTCTGTATCCTTTCACTCAACTCATGTGTGTTCTCTTTCATTAGTGACATGGACCCAGACAAGGATAAACTGGGGAGGTAAGATCATGCCGTTACCATGGAAATCTGATCTAAACAGCACATATGACTATACTTACTGTTAAAGGTATCAATTTCATTTTGATAAAACATTGAAGAAAAATGGTAGTTTCCAAAATGAAAAGAGAAAAGAAGTGGGCAGTGTTTGAGGATGTAATCTAGTATTGTCCAGGTGGTGGGATACTTTTTCCTCATTCTTACATTTTACATAACTGAAGCCTACGTCATACAGTATTTGTATTGAATCAGCTGTCTGGCTGTACTGTGCCATGTAACCCTAGCAGGTTGCGTAAGCTTTGATGCTGATGATTAACTTAATTCAGGTTACACAATCAGGCCAGCACACCTCTCTTGCTCTCTTTAAGTTCTACTTAAAATAGCTTTAAATTCATTGATGAAAATTCTAATGTAATATTTTCTGTTTCTCCCATTCTAGTGACCAACAGGGCCGGATAAAAAATGCCAGGTAAAATGACTCCTATCTTTCCTTTGATTTTGTACAGAGGGCTGTCAGTTACTCTGGCCAGCTCCCCTACTTTCTGTTTATATGCAGCATGGTCTGGAATCAGGTGCTCTGCAAATACTTTCTTAGAAAAATTATTTGCCTGTCCAACTACAGCAGGCATTTGTTCTTAAATATCTTCTCTAATATCCTTGTATCATTTAGAATCAAATCTATAACTTCTTACTTCAATTTGCCAGTGCTTAGTCTTCATATTCAGGTAGATGGTCATTTTTTTTTTTTTACATGAAAACTGTCAGGTTTGTTTTGACACATATGGACCATGTGTTTGTCTGATTGACTGATTTAATGTTCAGGGCTGGCCTGGCTGTAGTATGTCAATGCTTAATGGTCCATATTTTCTAGTGTGTGGTATTTGAGTTGTTAAAGACTGACAATAACTGAAAGTGTGGGTCAATTGTCTAAATGTATATTGTATATTGTTCACCCTCAGGGAAGCTCACAGTCAGATCGAGAAGAGGCGTCGGGATAAAATGAACAGCTTCATCGATGAGCTGGCTTCGCTGGTGCCCACATGCAACGCCATGTCCCGCAAACTGGACAAGCTCACAGTGCTGCGCATGGCTGTCCAGCATATGAAGACACTCAGAGGTCAGATAACTTCAATTAACTAATACATACCTTACTTTAATATTGTATCAAAACATACATACAATACTTATGCTTACAAAACATTATGCTAACTATGCTGACTTTTTTATTTAAGTTGATATGGAATACAATTCTTTGATCAGACGAAATATGGTGGTTTTGTTGTTGTACAGGTGCTGCAAACCCATACACAGAAGCAAACTACAAACCTTCTTTTCTCTCAGACGATGAGCTCAAACACTTAATATTGCGAGTAAGTACTTTAGGCTAGATGCAGTCACTTTTATTTCTTGAATGAAAAAGCAGTTTTGTGCAGTATTTATAATAGAACTGCATGACAAGTCCAGGCCTGCTCCTGTTGTCCACATAACGATAATGTGCTTTGTTAAAATGTCACATTTGTACAGTAGGCACCATTTAATTATTCATATTCCTTGTCCTTTTCATTTCTGCAGGCAGCAGATGGGTTCCTCTTTGTTGTTGGGTGTGATCGTGGCAAAATCCTCTTTGTTTCCGAATCTGTTTATAAGATTTTAAACTACAGTCAGGTATGTAAAATAAAATATACTTTTACCTCAAAAACATATGTCAATTTAATATATTTCATTTCTACTTAAGCTTAACTGATTTGTATTTTTATTTAAGTTACTCCAGTTTTAAAATCCAAAACCTGAATTATTTATGCAACCTTTTGGGCCCGCTCCTGATGTGCTAGATTAAGTTAAATGTCTGTTCTATGCACTTGTCTGTGAAGTCTTGGGTTTTATCTTATGTTGAACCTTATTTCTTGTGTCCAGAATGACTTGATTGGACAGAGTCTGTTTGACTACCTTCACCCCAAGGATATCGCAAAGGTCAAAGAACAGCTGTCGTCTTCTGATACAGCTCCACGAGAGAGGCTCATCGACGCTAAGAGTGAGTCAGGATACACACTGGAGTAGGGCTGCACCATTTTGGAAGGAAGAAAAGTGTGCAATTTCAATTAGATTAAATACATGTTTAAAAGTAGGATTCTGTTTAGAGTGCATACTGTAAACGACAGGAGCAAAAACAATTGAGAAAAGCATAAAGTATGAACTCATAAATTACTACAAGAATCCCATACATTTCAGTTAGTGAAATGTTTTCATTTTCTTAACTATAGGTACAACAAGGTGTTTTGTTCTTTGAATAGAACATTATATCTAAATACTTTAAATATTTTATTAAATACAGCCCTTTGAGATGCATTATCTCTTTTAATGGTTCCTGAACTGCAGTCTTTGCACAATTAATGAATGAGTGGTGCAATTATCAAATCGGAGTCCAGCACTATGTATTAAATAATGAACAAAAATGCATATAAGGAAAGTTCTTTATGCTTCTATTCATGTCTCTGGCTCAAAGCTTAGTTAGTAATGGCTCTTATGTGATGCAACAGCTATTTGTGCTTTCATTCTGTACTATATTACAACACTGAAGGTCTGATATCCTTTTGAGAAACCTCAGATTGAACTGAAAATGGATTTTCAAAAAAAGAAAATGTTTTGCAACTCGGTCTATTATCAGGCCCTGGATAACAGACGGAGCCATGTGAAGGGCTGCACTATGACATCAGTGCTTATTGTGAAGTGAACACATGCTCTTGTGTATTGTGTGTTGGCAGCTGGTCTTCCCGTTAAGACAGACATCACCCCCGGACCCTCTCGACTGTGCTCGGGGGCCAGACGCTCCTTTTTCTGCAGAATGAAGTGTAACAGGCCGTCTGTCAAAGTGGAGGACAAAGACTTCCCTTCAACCTGCTCCAAGAAAAAAGGTGCACAATTCTACACAGATTTATGTACATTTATGCTTATCCCAATGCACAGTGGTGGAGTGTAACAGAGTAGAAGTAGATAAGTACTGTAATTAAGTACACAATTTGGGTATCTGGACTTTATTTATGCAGAGTCTTTACATTTGAGAGCAGGTATCTGTACTTTTTACTTCACTACATTGTTTAAATGGACTGAAAAGTAAAAATATATTTTTATTATTGTGCAAGACCTGCTGAAACGTCTGAGGGGTTTGTTTTTACACATTCATAATTTGAGTAAACTAAAACATTCAAATAAAACTGGGAAAAAATGATTCAGTTGTGCAACACAAATCTTTATTAAAATCAGTATATTTTAAACTTTATAGTAAAAATGAATAGTGTTCTGTGCAGATAATAAGTTTTAATAAAGTATTAAAGAACCTGTTTAAAAATGTACTTAAGTAGATTTTTTTACTTTACTTTTCTTTGGGCCAATATCTGTACTTTTACTTAAGTAGCAAAATTGAGTACTTCTTCCACCAATGCCTATATGTCTATTCTGAGTTTTCCATTATAGAGGAGACTATGGTTTCCCCTCATATCCTTAATTTTACTCCTATAGTCCCATAGCTGAACAAAAAAATTGTTAAACTAATTCTGCTTAATCCTTGTAGTTAGGGCTTGGCAATATGGCAAAAATATGAATAACATCGGTATTGATTTAATTAACATTGACAAGACAGGCTTTTAATCAGAGCCATTGAACACAAATTAAATTTATTCCTACAAGATCTGGACTCTGCTGCAAACCACATGCTTTTAGTGATTGAGGATTAGCTGATTTAAAAGACACAACCACATCATTGATGATTAGACATGACTGAAATCCAGTCTTTATTCAGATTTGATTAACTGGCCAGCTCTGCTTGTAGTATTCTCTTAAGCATACATACATAAAGCATTAGGGATGTAACAATATCCAAATCTCTCGATACAATATTATCACGATATGCAGCTCACGGTACAATATTTATTGTGATATTTTGGAGAGACTAATACAATTATAGATAGGACACATTACTGCTTTAAAATACCTTGACAAGATTTTGGTGTGAATCATTTCCGTCATGATCCCAAGAATTCAAGTATAAAAAACATATTTCTTCATGTTGTCTGCACTGAAATTAATCATGGGATTTGTAGTTCCCTGTGTTTATAAGATGTTGCTACTATAAAACCATGCATTTAAGCAAAGGAACTTGTAATTCGATACATTTTGACAGCTTGCAATATTATTGTGAGATGATATCACGATATTTTAGTTATTGTTACATCACTAATAAGCATATTTTGTAATCAGTCAGTTTTATCAGTTACATTTAGGCCTGTCACAATAATAAAGTTTAAAGTGTGATGTGTTGCTGAAGAAAATATAGATGAGAAACAATAAAACTGAAACAAAATTGTGCCATCGACAAAAAAAAAAGCAGAATCATTCCCTATTGAACTATCATATTATATGGTTACAAATCATGAGCTGTGATAATTAAATGGCACAATTTAACACTTAAGTAGTTCAATTGTGTTTGTATCTATATAAAGGCTCAGAGAAGTGATTTTTTTTATTTTTTTTCCAAACCTCTTCAGTTCACATCTAATCATAATCAAATCTAATCATAGCATAGAAAATATTGACTCCCAAACATTATTGTTCCGTCTGTCATGTAATGAATGATGAGTCGATATAGTATTATCATGACAAGCCTAATGACGTATTCTCCATAAACTGTAGTAAATGGCATGATTCAAATATGGGTCATTTGTAGTCTGAATATTAACCTGTGGCACACATTGCTTCTATTATTATTCATTCGTTCTCAACGCAAAGAGCTCTGGACACCACCCATGGCTTATGATGTGTTGGGAGTTACAGACAAAGGCTTTTCCACTCTCTTTCATACTTTTAAGTCTGTTTGTTCTCTGAGTTGTTGAAATGAAAGCTCTGCCTCCTCTGTGTTTGGCTTTCTATGTTTAGAGCCACATCCTCATTAAACCAGGAATCACACCTCAATTCTCACCCAACCCTTTTTATTAATCAACACAGGAAGTAGGCTCCTTCAGTTGTAGTTACTTATTCATGTGACCTTCTCAAATCTTCAAACAGACCCTCCAGTGTGTGTGTGTATTTAATAAGCATAATCTACATTGGAATTGAATGATATATTACTGTTACTGTATGTTATGACAGGACATTGTGATAATAATTCATGCTTCTCCTAGACAGTCTGACTAGTCATTAGACAAAAATTCACACCTGTATTTATCTCCTAAGGTATTTTAGTACTGTACCTACACCCTAATCACTCATTTTGAGAAGTCTGGAGTGGCTGCAAACATTGTTATAATTAAAAAAAAAATGTTGAGAGCAACATAAGGCAAAGCTGTTTAACAAAATGTAAATCAGAAGTGCTTCTGCAATCCACAACAGGATTCAATGTACCAGAGCAAGATGTATGGATTTACAGGCCTTTTATAAATGATTTTACTCTAAAATGCCATTTGGTCAAATTTTGGTAATTTTGGTCCATAAAAGTTTGACACCCCCACATTCACACACAGACAGATCACAGACAGATAAGTAATATTAAAATCCAACAAGCTCAGCAGAATTGGGTTTGTGTGTGTGTGTGCTGCAGGGTCTGAGAGCAGAGGAAACATATGTCTGGATCTGTTCAATGAAGGGAAGTAGAGTGTGCTCTAAGTGGCTTTCATTGTGGAGCATTCAAGTCCAGTCAGGCAGACCATTCTAAATCAGACCAGAATGGACTATTGAGTTTTAGGCAGATTTAACTACTATTGACCTAAACAAACTAAAACTGCAAACTGTACACCAGTGGCCTTGTGCCATATGTTAATTGCCTTTTCAATTACAGAACATTCAGTACAGTACATGCAGTACATTCATTACAGTACATTCAATTCCATTTTTTTTTTTATTTAATGAGACTGGTACAGTGCACAATTTTTACATTAACCTTAACAGAAGAGATTAATTGTGCCAGGTTGTAACAGCAGTGCTAATTTCCACCTGTCGTCCCTGGGCAGGTTCATTCATTGATTGTATTTAATTGACCTTAGCTATCAGCTGTTCTTCCTGGAGACCTATGTAGCATGTTTTGGGTAGCATTTCGTACTTAGTTTACTTTTACTTTTAAAATGAGCAAACACAATTTTTGAGCTTTGTATATTTTACAGACAGCTTTAGTATTTATTGAACATATAATAAGATAGTAATAAAATGACAACAGTCACCAAGTAGACATCCACATCCTTCAGCTTTGTGAATGTTGTGTAAGTGTTTATGAAGAGGTGAGACAGGCACAGCTGTTGTCCTGTTCTAGGACCAGAGCTAATGTTCGGCTCACTGGCCTGTAAGATTCCCCTTCCTCCCCACAGCATGGTGCTGGCCAGGCTCCTATTGGGATCTCCCTTGTGTATCTCTATATAACACTTGTCTCTTGTTTGGTTACAGCTGATCGAAAGAGCTTCTGCACCATCCACAGCACAGGCTACCTGAAGAGCTGGCCTCCCACAAAGATGGGCCTTGATGAAGACAATGAGCCAGACAATGAAGGGTGTAACCTGAGCTGCCTAGTGGCTATTGGCCGATTGCATCCTCACATCGTCCCTCAGCCCAGCCTCGCAGACATCAGAGTCAAACCCACGGAGTATGTGTCCAGACATGCCATCGACGGCAAGTTTGTGTTTGTTGACCAGAGGTAAGATCATAGATTCACTTCTCTGTACATTATGATGTTATACAGTTCAGGTATGATAATGTTATGGTGCGCCTTGTTTTGTACAGAGCAACAGCAATCCTCGCCTACCTGCCCCAAGAGCTGCTCGGGACCTCCTTCTATGAATATTTCCATCAGGACGACATCAGTCATCTGGCAGAGTGTCACAGACAAGGTATGTGGATTACACTGTGCATGAAGTATTTCAATAGGAAAAACAGCAATATAAAATATGAAAATATGATGAACATGTGCTTGTTGCTCTTCCTCAACAGTGCTGCAGATGAGAGAGAAAATAAACACCAACTGTTACAAGTTTAAAATAAAAGATGGCTCCTTCATCACGCTCCGCAGCCGCTGGTTCAGCTTCATGAACCCCTGGACAAAGGAGGTGGAGTACATCGTGTCCACAAACACGGTTGTATCGTAAGTATCTTTTTAGTCCTCTGCAATACTGAATTTGGGATGTCTCAAATTCTAATAATTATGAAGAGAATTATGAGGAGAATGGTGCCTGCACCTTTCCGACTTGATGCAGATAAATGTCATGGTTCCTAAATATAGCATTTTGAAAATGTAGCTCTAAAATGCATTAAACTAGAAATAGTCCCTGTCGTAGATTGTAGCCTTCCTCCTCCAATACTGAGGGGTGTTCTTTGTGATTGATGTTGCAGGTGTCCCATGATGGAAGGGTCAGACTACCCTCAGTCTGCAGCTTCTCCACAGAGTATGGACAGTGTTCTCACATCAGAGGGTAAGTTAGAATAACTATGCAAATGTATTTGTGCTCTTGGCTAAATCTTCTGTTTTGGATTTTGAAGGCGGGGGGCGAAGAGCATTGCAGACAGTGCCTGGAATTCCAGGTGGGACAAGAGCAGGGGCTGGCAAGATTGGCCGCATGATCGCTGAAGAAGTGATGGAGATTCAGAGGTAATATTTTCTAATGTTAAAATGTCACACAGCTCAGCTTGACTATGGGCCAACTATTTGTACTTATGATAACCCCTTTTTGGTTATGGTATTGGTAGTGCAGCATCTCCAAAGTAATTCTGTTCTTGATTCATATAGTGCAGCCTTCCTGGTTTAAATGTTTGTTTGTTTTTTGTTGTTGTTGTTGTTGTTGTTTTTTTAACAAACTGAATTACTCAACTTCCAAGCCACTTCTGACAATTACTGATGACAAACCAAAGAAAGCATCCATTTTAGCAAAGACAACATGAGCCCTATAAAGGAACTTGTATATAGTAAAGTTTGGTTAACAGGAGAGTCTTTTGTCTGTCATCTGTTCACTGACTTGCTCCAAGCAGACAGTCTGGTGCTAAAATTATACCAGTTGGCTTTGTCTTCTCATTGTTTTGGCTATGGAATAGTTTCAAAATGTAAAAAAACAGTTTGACACAATCTGATTTGTCTGCTTTTTTTTGGTTTTGTTTTGTGTTTTTTTCATGTGTTGTTCAGGATCCGAGGTTCCTCACCTTCCAGCTGTGGCTCTAGTCCTCTGAACATCACCAGCACCCCTCCTCCAGACACCTGCTCACCGGGAGGGAAAAAGGTAACTCCTCAGTCCCAGCACTGTTGAAATATGAAGGCATTTCCCACAGAAATGGGCTGTGTCATCACATAATATCTATTACATAACAATAAGTATATTCAAGTGTAATGAACCCAAAAGTTGAGCAGCTGTAAATGTGTCTTTGACAATTACAGATTCAAAATGGAGGAACGCCTGAGCTGCCGATCATTCCTGGACCTGACTCTGTGGGCTACCCCTACTCGAACCAGTCCATTATGAGTAAGTTGTTGTTATTAAAATTGAATAAAAATGCAATATAATAATGGATTCTTTCTTACCCATACTGATCATAATGAAGCCATTTATGGATGCTGTCATAGACTGTATATAGAATAGACATGGCCAACCTGCTAGCGGCCACATTCCAAATAGGAAGTCATCGTGGGTGTGCTTCAGCTCCTTTGACTCACTTTCTATTGAAAAAACAACACCTCTCTCTCTGTCATTTCTGTCTTAACATGTTCATATTAACCTGCTCTACATGATCCTGGTGTTTTTATTTAGCTATTTAGTCCATTAATAAATTCCCATTCCTAATATGAACCTCAACTCCAAAAAACTGCTAGACTCGGTGAGCTTCATTTGACTGATCAGTTTGATTTTCTCTCAATATGACATTAAATGAGAGTAGTTTACTTTTAAACAATAATCATAAGAAAAATAATAATAATCATTTGTAATGGATATAAACAAAAAATGTATTGTCATAGGGAAAAAAAAACTACTTTCAGTTCTAGTAGGCGACCGAACTAATAAGACAAGTTTCCAATCCACCATAATTCAGATAAATAGAGATGAGTCTCAAGAACAATGGGGAAAAACAGACAATAAATATATATAAAAAAACAAAAACAAAAACAAATCAAAACAAAAAAAACGGTGCATTATAGTGAGGCCCCCAAATTGCTTACTCCACCACTGGACATCACACTCACTTAGTCCACTTTATACAGTTATTGATGCTGTTCTTCCCCCTCTTCATATATTTGTCTCTGTGTCCAGGTGACAACTCCCACCTCAGTATAGACATCATAGACGAACCGGGATCCAGCAGTCCCAGTAACGAGGCGGCGATGGCGGTCATCATGTCCCTTTTGGAGGCAGACGCCGGGCTAGGGGGTCCCGTGGACTTCAGTGACCTGCCCTGGCCTTTGTAATGGTCCAATGACTCCTGTTTGCCCCAGAGCCACTGCTGGACTACCCCATGACTACACTGTAAAAAACACAAGCCTTCTTAAAAGATCACTAGGTATAGACAGGGTGCAGAGCTGCCGCTGTTTGGATCCACTCCAAGTCATCATTCCAAGTGACCCGGAACACAAGAAGGATATGAACAGATTATCCCAGCGGTCCAGCTTCAACATTAAACAACACTTAACTTTCTATGCTGTGATGAGATGGCCGCTTTGCAGTGTTTAGTAAAATGTTTTTCATAACCAGAGTAACACGTCTGACTGAACTTTGTCTAACAGTGACTCTGCCTCGGCCAACACTGGACTCCTGCGCTATCCTGAGATGGTTTATCTTTACAGTAGAGTTACAGCAGGTCTCATGGGACAGACACAAAGCAGAAAGCACAGCGCTCCTCTACTGGAGGTTCATCTGGGAACGGTCCCTCCTTCACTCAACCCCAAAAGGTCTACACGATTAGGCTGCTCTGGTCAAGTGTGCAATAGAGGTCTTTTCTAGACTGCTTCTCACCATATTGCAGTAAATGACTCCCAGCATTGGCAAAGAGCAATCATTCAAGTTGATTTATTCCTAAATATTAATGCAATGCACAAATCAAGTGAAATACAATGAGAAACTGGATTGTATCAGACTGTGAAGACCTCTACTATTGAATTAAAACCTGAGATGTAATATCTTGTAACTCTAAGGCTTTGGATCTAGAAGGAAAAGTATTGTTCACTGCCATTAGCTGCACTCTGCTCTTGTACCGCTCCCTGTTCAGCATCAGCAGAAAGCTCTGACGTCAGGGTCACACTGCCTCTCCACTACTTCACATACGGTTCACTGAGCCCAAAGCCCAAATACTACCACAGGAAATGTGCTCAAACAAATGGCTGTTGGGTGGCTTTGTGCGGCTGATCATGGGTGATGTTCAAATACCTCTGAGCTGGTTAGTGCTTTGTGATACTCTGTGAGCCAAAAGGTGGCTACTTAAAACATTCAATGCAAACTAGCTTCGAGCTGAGAGGGCTAATCTGTAGAAAGCTACGCAACAGGGTAGTACTGGTATAGGAATGATGTTCTCTAATCACTCTCTGTGGTCGGAGGTGGAGGGGGGGGTCTCTCATATTTCCAACAGAACTCTGCTCTTACAAAGGCTCTGTGTGATTAGAGGAGGACTGGGCCTGAAGGAGGGTCCTGTCATATAAGAACTTAATTATTATTTACATTTTAAAGGTTGCCATGGAGACAGAAGACATCATTACATTAAAGCCACCAAACAAGATAAAATAAATTGAGTTTACACAATTGTTAACCTGTCTCTCTAATTTAGTGTAGTCTTGATATTAATACACTTAATGAAAAACTGTAAAAATGCTGTCAATGTTCAGTTTATTAGTAAAACAAAAATCTTAAAATGGGGCTTATATATTTTGGGACCACAGTGCGATTAAATGTAAAATTAAGCTTGATTTCTTCCATTGGCAATGAAAACAAATCTTGAATTTTTTCCCATTGTTTCCCACTCTATTGTTCTTAGCGTTTCCACATAGAAAATGGATACAACATTGGAGACACCTTGTGGCCTCTTGCTGTATTACACCCAAACTCCCTCATGTATCCAGCGTCTGCCCAGCCCTCCTCCAATGAGACGGCAGCTTTCTTCCCCTGTTTCCTCTGGTCCAGTGGTTTTCTGTTCAATGTTTCTACACTACAACACAGTGTCCCCATGTTGCTACCCCTCCCACTGACAATAATGTATCAGATCTTTAAATATTATCATGTAAGAGTATACTTTATGCAAATATATATGAGTATGATGAGTGTATTGTATGTATCAGCAGTGAAATATTTTTCAAATAAAATTATTTGTTTCTGTCATGTTGGGTTCTTGGTTCATTTATGACTAAGTGCTGCCTCAGCCAATCAGAACAGCCCTGGTATTTTTATAACGTTGCCATCCAGATGTAGCAGCTTTAAGGATGACGAGAGAGGAAGAATGCAGGTCACCTTTTTGCTGCATAGGACAAATCTCAAAGTTACTGCACCATAATGCGTATTCTGTGGTAATTGGATGGAAAGTAAATAGATTATTTTACTTTGAGTATTTTGCACGAGGCTCACTTAGTTTCACAAACTACAGCGCATTGAATTCACACCTTCATTCCACTGTTAGATGTGTTATGCAAAAGATCATTTTGCAATCATTACTCTGTCTGCTTGGTTACTTGTTTTTTCCATCACAATAAATACAACATGCTGATTGTGCAACCACTGCTGTAATGAAACCTACTTATGAATTACTTTTAGCAGTTTTAGCAACTAAGCAGTTTGTTTTAAAGTATTTGTTAACGAAGTAATTACAAAACAGTAATTCAAATTAGAAAAAAAATCAAGTATATACTGCTTGTCCCTATTTTTGTGGATTATCTTTCTTGTCTTATTGCAATTTGTCAACTCAATATAGTAAACAAGCTTTTTTTGTAAATAGTATTTATTGAAAAACAAAAAAACATTTATATAAACATCTGTGACATCATGTGTTCCTGCATTTAGTAAAAACTGGAGTGTAGGACATTGAACCTTTTTAATCTTTAGACACATTTCCATTTCTACAGCAATCTTTATGTGAATAATCATATCCACAGTATTTGTCTCAGCAGAACCTTGTAGAGTCCCAGTCAAAGGGCAGCAAAGGCAAAGTGGTGTTCTGCCAAAAGGAGGGGGAGGTTTAGGGAAACATGCCGCATTCACTCTCTTACCAGAAAAGACTGACCCTGTGCTTTTTGGCAACAAAATCAGCCTAAAAGCATGTATGCATTAAATAAATATGAAGTGTGCGATGGTGTCGTCACATCAACAGTTGTGGTTCGGTTAATAATTTTCTACAATAAATAATAAATATTAATACTGTATTGTGTGATGAAGTGTTCAAAACAATGTCTCACAAAAATCCAAAATTACTTTGAAGATTTTTTTTTAACTGCCGTCTCACAGATTTCATTTCTTCCAACATTGAGGTAGCAAACCTTATACTGAGAAACTGATTAAATGATTCCAGCGATAGCAAACAATGCAATACACAAAAATAAAGTATGTTTGACTGCATATTTCACACATATTGCAGATTGTAGCACTACCACAAAAAAGCAACGTCATTTCCACCAGATCATGTGTAAAGAGACCTGGGTCATCACAGATACCTCAGACATTAAGCACAATGCCCGATAACAGACAGGCGCTTTGGGCTCTATATGTTTCTTCTAGATTTACAGTACAACTCCATAAATGTCCAGTTAAGTGAGATACAGGGACATGTCTGCATTACAGCTCTTGTGTGTACATTGTGCTGTGTGATGTGGGTGAAATGTGCCTAAATGTTTAAATACATTGTGTGGATGTTTTTTGTTTATTGCTTTTGCCTTTGTGTTGTACAAAGTTTCTGTTCATTACATAACACATTCAAGTGCATTTGGACATGAGTCCACTGCTGCTTCTTGTTCGTGGTAGGGGTCTGTTTGAGAGTGAATGCGGCTCTGGACTCATGCAGAGGGGGAAGGAGGGTCCGGGCCGGGCTCATAGTGATATGTGGCCTGAGAGTGGCTGCTGTGCTGGTTACCGTGGTTACTGTGGGCTAGGCTGGGCACTGCCTGGTGTGGTACATCCTGTGGTGGGTGGGGGGAGTTGTGAGCTGCCTGTGGAGGCAGAGGTTCCAGGGGGGCTGTAGGGGGCTGCTGTTCGTGTCCCAGGGGCACAGTGTCCAGCTCGTCCATGGGGGGTCCCGGCTGCATCACCACCAGCTGGTCCTGAGGGATGTCTGCGGCTGCAGCGGCCAGGTTTGTGGTGGATTTGGACTTGACGCACTGAAAGTCCACGTGGCGACTCTTGCCTTCCTCCTTCTCCCAGGACATGCGGATGAACGGACGCTGCACATAGTTATAGATGACCTCCGGACGCCCCCCGGGACGCCGTTTCACCTTCTCTTTGTAGGTGGGATAACCTGCGGAGATACAGAGTACTAGAGTTAGGTCCATGAGTCTATGTGAAACAGTGCTGTGCTCTGTATAGGACTGTAATACAGAACCAAGGGCTGTGTAAGGCTGCAGTCAGTACCTTCGATGCCCAGGCGGATTTTCTTCAGGCCCCTGTCTTTCAGCACAGCTTTGGCCACGTCTCTGTTCTCAATGTATTTGAAGAACCGGTACAACTTGGTGCTGTAAATGACTGAAAAATAGAAAGACGAGTTAGAAGAAGAGTTACATGATGAACTGCAAACGTTGAATTATTGTGCGTGTGCTTCAGTCTTACTTTGGGAGTACTCCTCTCCCATCTGTGGGGGGTACTCTTCGTCCCAGTCCACCACATCATCGTCAGTCAGGACCACCACATGACACTCCCTCTCTCCACTCTGTGCACTGGCCACCATCAACGGCAGCACCATCTCCTCCAGGTAACACTCAAACTGTCGCCGCGCGCCGTCGTTAGACAGCTCGTGCATCAGGGCACCTGCAGAAAGAGGAATAGTCTCAAACACTGTCCAGGGCAAAGCGGTTTAAAGCAGTGAAGAGCACATATCCTGTTTGTCTTCTTTAAGAAGTAACTCCTCATTGTGCAGTGTCCAGGGTTATTATTATCATTAAGTGACTTCTGATCACAAACACTGACTGATGAAAAAGTACATCACAAACCAGTACAACACGCAGATCAGCTTTAGTCGCATCAGAATCATGTACTTTGATAAACATGGTGAAATGTGACTAATCTGTATCACATCCAGCAGTACTGGAGACATCCAAAGTCTTTAGTGCAGTTATTGCAGGTTACATAAGAGATCCTTCGCAGTATTTTCAGATTGCTTACAGCATTGTGATGTAAATTGTGGGGGTGTAATATTCAGCAAAAGTGGGCTGAATCTGCACCAAATGTAGGTCATATCTAGCAGCCAGTGTATTTAACACCTTTGTCTCAGTGCTGCACTAACGGGGTTTGCCATTTACAGACATTTGAGCCGACAACAGAAATGAAAACCAGAGGATAGTACGGCTGTGGACAATGACACAAATGGATCAGTGTCTTCTGAATCAATCTTCTATGAGTAAATATGGACAAATCCACTAGAAATACAGTGAAATCCAGCCAACCCGGGCTAGTGCAATGTTTATGTAACTACAAACCAAGCTTTAAAACTCACTGCTAATGATGACCTACTTACAGACACGCAAACCTCCCACACTCTAAATAGACAACAATTACAGTAAACAATACCAGCATCAATAATAGTCCTTGTAGTAGCAATAGTGAGAATACCAGGAGTGATAACACAGTATTCATTTGATGTACTGAAATAAGGAAATGTTATGTGCAAACCAAAACACACAGGACTTACCCACACCGATGGAGCTACTCAGTGTGGAGCGTCAGCAGCCAGAGCCGTAAAAAAAAACAGCGATACAAACAAAAAAAAGAAGAAAAAAATGCAGTGAAGTGGCCGAGAGCGTACTCACTTAGGTCTCTGCACTTGATGGTGTTGTAGTTGAAGGAGATACAGAGGTAGTCACATGCCTCCCGCAGTTCAGGAATGGAAACGCCGTCAGGGCAGCGGATTATCCCCGACTTGTAGTAATCCTGCCATTTTGAAAAGAGCACACACACACACAGGTATAGAGAGAGAGAGAGAGAGAGAGAGAGAGAGAGAGAGAGAGAGAGAGAGAGAGAGAGAGAGAGAGGAGAGAGAGAGAGGGGGGAGCGTTCACACCGGAGCGGGGGAGAGAGAGAAGCACGACGCCATTACTGATGCTGCTGGGAGGGAAACGGAGGATGAGAGCAGGAGGGAGGGAGGACGGGGGGGGTGAGTGAGGGATGCTCTGTTTACAGGAGGGGGAGGGGCTGTGATGTCACTTCCTGCTCCGTGCTCCACTTTCCATCATCGAACTGCTGCCTTAAGCTCTGCCACTGCCAGCCATTGTGCAGCTAAAAGAGGCTAGACCGAGCAACACGGAGGAGCACCAGGTTTAGAGTCAGCATTTATGAAGAACTAAAGTGGTTCGTAAAAATAGCTGTGAGTGGGTGGAAAATATAGATCAAATGAGGCAACGATTTTGTGGTACTTAAGTAGTTATAAATTATTTACCCATTTTCTGACTTCTTATACAAGTCGTATGTTTTAAAATATTGTGATATTGATTTGAAAAGCCACTTGAGTCAGCGGATACAACCCCCATTTTGTCCAAGTCTATGATTCAGCAAACATCCTATTTTTAGCTATTCACAGCAGTGCACCTTGTAGGGTTACAACATCAACACTCCTGAGTGCTGTTAAAATATGACCTGCTAAAGCACCTGAAAGGAAGAATCATATTTTGGCTGTGTCATCTAAACTTTCTTCTTATTTTTAATGTCCAGCAGAACACATCAAAAAGCTTAACATAATACAAGTAACCAGCTGAGATGGCAAAATAACAGAAATATATATGTGGAGGAGTGTTTCTTACCAGAATGGCTCTGAACACAGTGGAGCTGATCCCGTCGGCCACTTCATATTCTCCTTTTTCGTTTGGTCGGGTGAAGTTGTTCTCACGTCCAGAACCAAACATCCTGGAAGCACATCAGCAAATGTAAAATAATGATCAAAGTTATACTTGTTATAGTAGATTAAAGGACCCGTATTACACTACTTTCTCTATCAATAACATACCTGGAGTTGTGTTTTATTTCATTCACATGTTTAACACACAAACCCCGCATAATTAGGCGGAGTTCTTCTTTCAAACGGAAAACACTCTGTTCCACCTTGTGACGTCATGTGGTAACACAGGAAGTGCTCCACTGTGTTTTTAAACTCCATACACCTTCACTAGAATCATGTGGATAATTTCAGTCCTGGAATTGTCCATCTCTACTGAACAAAAGACAAAAGGTAGCTGCTATTTTGAACTTTGGAAATGTAGAGAGACTAAAGGCTTACTCAGTGTGTGAATGAAACAAAACACAACTCCAGGTATGTTTTTGATGAGGTAACATTATACCATGACTAAAAAAGCTCACAAGTCAAATTAGCATAATATAAGTCCTTTCATTATCAAAACTAAGTGCTTTGAGTGCCTTGAAGGTGGAAAAGCGTTGTATAAAAATGTGACCAAAAGAAAAAGCTAGAGTGAAAGTTAAAAAGTCAAGTGGACTCACCTGCCCAGCATGGTGTTTGGCTGGGCTGTGAAAATGGCGGGGTCCACCACAAATCTGGTGTTGTCTACGATGAGCGTGACCCTCTCGCCGAGCCTTAGCGCCCCCCTGTGACTCTCCTTGCTGCCCAGGTCATACACATAGATCATGTCATTAGGGCCCTGTCCCATCAGTTTGGGGTGAAGGTCTGCGGAGCGAGGCACGTGTCCCACATGGGAGTAGGTCAGAGGGACCCTGGGTGGGCGGGGACTGGACGAGCGCGACGAAGAGCCGCCATCGCCACGCTCACGATCTGAAACACACACACACAAAACAGAGTAAGAATAAGATCTGTAGAAATGTTTCATTTTTTCAATTTATAGATTCTTTTCATTTGGACCTTTGTTAACCAACAGAAAATTTAAATCCCGTTTTTCTTCATACACCCAACTGATTTAACAGTATTGTTAAATGATATAAAAGCATATTATATTAAAAAAGTAGTCTGTGCCTGAGGGGTCCAAATGAATAAAGACACTTTACGACGTGAGAGCAGAAAGCAGCTGTAAGAATTGTATTAACTCTGTCACATTCGGGTAAGCGTGAGGTGAATGAAATTGAACCACTCATCATCACAAAACTAATTCTTATTGAGAGCACATTTTTCTTGTTTGTTCCAACAGAGCTCCACATGGACGCTACATTATAATGACAATAGCATTCTTTGATATTTAAATTGATCCACACAATCACTTTATTGATCCTTGCAGTAACATCATGCTGGGGGTGTTCTACATGTATGTGTATTGGCAGAATGTTCACCAGTTACCATGGAGGCACAATGTCAGCTCACCTATTGTAATTCTAAGTCTTTTCTTTCTCAGATTATGTTAAAATAAAGATCAGATTAGACAGAGCCTCAGACAGAGTAGTGCTTACAGTTAGAGAATATTGATGACATGCGCTGCAAAGTATCACTTGAATTAAAGTGCTGCGTGTGGTCCTCACCGTGCTGTCGAGTGGGAGAGGTGACGTTGCGGATGCAGGGGGTCAGCTGGTTCTCTCCTCTCTCGTGGGAGGAGTCTCGTGAGCGGTCACTGGAGCGACGCCGCTGCTCTCTGTAGTGCTCACCTGGTCGGGCTCCACCTGAGGCTCCGCCTCCTGTGGCCCCGCCCCCGAACACACTCATGACCTGCTGCTGCCGCTCCAGGTCCACGACGGACCCACCCAACGGCTCACTGTGGCACAAGAGGAACAAGAAGACATGTTACTTAATGGTGGGTCCATAGAGGAAACACTTTTAACTTCGGCCTCTGTGTCGTCAAATGGACATCGCCAGTTCGCCTTTCTCTGACCAATTCTTTAAAATACAGACCACAGCCAAAGTTAGTTTTACAGAGGCTCTGGTTCAGATGTTGATTACATTTTGGCCTTTGTCATTTTGCAATTAAAAAAAAATATATATTTTAAAGTATTTGGTGACAATACCCAGACACTAATCGATTCTAAAACTATATGCTCATTTAAAGCTGTAGCAATCCTGAAAAAAAACACACTGTCAATAGGAGAGAAATGAACTTTTCCTGAAGAGTTTTAGAATTTCCTTGATCAGTACTAGGACTAGTAGAAGAACACATGGTAATATAGTAGAAACAACAATGTCTTAAAAATGTTTTTAGTATTAAAGTGATACCAAAACCAAGTTTGAATTTTTAGTAACATGACAATGACAGGAAAATTGTTTGAATCCATACAAAAGAAGTCTGGAGTGCAAAGTCGCAGTAGTAGTTTACTTTCTTCAGTCATGTACTTAGTAAACTGTTTGATTGTGCAAAGTTACTCCTTTATGCTCTGCAGAGAAATACTTTCTGACAGTAACTTTTTATAGACATGCTCAGTTAAAATTTCTATGCACAAACACAAACTCTTAGAGGGGGCACACATGAGTGAACACAGAGGCGTGGTTTTATGAAACAACACTCTAGTTTAGCCAGTGCACATCTCATTCTCTTGAGTTGACAAACTGTCAAATCAAGTGAGCCTTCAATCTGCAGCCAGCAAGAGCAGCACAGCTCTGAATGCACGGGCTGATACTGAAGAAACCTGAGTGAATGACAGACACTTCAAAAGAGTCCTCCTGTGAAAGTAGGTAGGTTCAGACCAGGACACACACAATGGTAATTAGTGGTTTTGGTTATTATTGAAATTGTCTATCAGTGTAATTTAAGGCTGCAATCAAAAGGTAATTGACATTTTAATGGTTGTATTCAAAGGCTGTAATTAAGGGTATCGTGTATAATGTAATGTCTCTGAGACAATAAAATACTTAATCTCAATGAGGTCTAGAAAAATGAAAAAACTGCTATCCCTGTAGTATAATAAATAAAGACACGTGTATCAAAGCAGTCAGTATTTCAATGTTCACTCACTGTTAATGGTCTCAGAAAGGTTTAATATCCCATTAAAATTTAAACTGACAAATTTACAGCAAAATTTAAAAATTTTGTTTTGAGCAAATGGAGACTGGAGAACATCCATAATCTTGTACCCCACCTCAAATTAGGTAGGTTAAAGTATTTAATACTAATTATTTTCCCCTGAATAAAATTAAATCACTATGGCTTTAGTAATGGACAAAAACAAACTTTTAGTCACAAAAAATACAATGTATTCATATAAAATCTGAAGTCCTCCCCACAGCAAATGCCTTCACTGCCCTGGGATCAGCTGACATAGGATTTATGCATCTGTAGAGCTGTTCATAAGACAAATCTTGATGGAAACTTGTAATAACACTGCTGCTGGCACCTCACGGGACATTAGTCACATTAATAAAGTTTGTCTGATGTATCCGTCTGCCTGTTTGAAAATGCAGCTCTGATCGATGGTGTGGTGGAGCTTATGAGGCACAAACACATCTCTGTAATGATCCAGGTTGCACTCTCCAGAGACCAGCCGCTATGAAATATGAAGAGTCTAACGAGGCCTGTCCAATCACAGCAATGCACCATGGGAGTCAGTAAATAACTACACCTTTACGATCTCTCTGGGACACATTTATATAGGCTGAAATAAAGAGCATAACAAAAAACCACCAGGACTGGGGGCACATGGAGCCAGGCACACTGTGCCAAGAAATTGTAAAAGATGTCAATAGGGAACTTTAGCTTTAACTTCCATTAACCAGAAGGGACAAAAAAAATGTTTAGACAACTTTATTGTTTTCCCTCTTGTCTTTTGTGCTGCTGGCTACTGGCCAGAACCAGGACACCTGGTTACAAGAAAATGCAAATACGGAGAAAAAGAAAAGAGACCACTGGTTTGTACTTGGCTCTAGAATATGAGTGAGCATATGAAAAAACAACTACATTTAAAAAAGAAAATAGACTATAGCAAGGTCAGAGCACGTAAATTAAAGTGTTACTTTAATGTGGGGTTTGAGAACAAAAAATAGTGCAGTTAACATTAAATGTATTAAACACTGTGTAAAAAAGCAGTCCACCTCCTTTTGCTTTGGGGTTTCAGCTGTGTACGTCTTTTACAAAATCAAATCAGTTGTTTTCTCAATAACACAGGGACAAACTCAGCAGCACTAAGCTACCTGCAAGTGCTTCAGAATCCTGCTCTCTCCATCACACACCACTGAAAATGGTTCACTGGGTTCACTCCATAAATGAGTAATAGCAACATTTATACATTTATTTTCTTGTCACAGTAGGGACAAATTTACATATGGCCACTAATCTTGCCTCCAAATGTTTTTTCACCACTCACTTTCTCCACTAGTATCTTTCCATCATGAAATATAAAGTGAGAAGAAGCAGCCTCTGAAAGGAGCTGCAGACAGAGCCTCTGCCAGTGTCCTTGAAGAAAAGGGTCACAACAGCAGGTATGAGAAAAGAAAGTAAAAACACACAAGCTCCAACAACTAGAACTGTCAAATACATCTGTATCATCTTATTCTTCTGTAACCTTAGGGGAAACATGGTACAAAACAAAATGATTCAAACAATGCCTGGCAATGTTTCTCTCCTCTGGGGAAAAGATTGATAACACCGAAACTAAATTAGGGAAATAAAACCAGTGGTGTTCTGGAAGTCATGGGCCAGCAGCCAAAGAAGGGACCGGCATCAGCTGAGGCGCAGGGAACAAAGAAATGGAGAAGGCAATATTTCACTTACACTAGCAGCGTCTCATCTTTCGTAAGGCAAACCTCCCAGCTGAATCTCAAAGGGCTACAATTCCACCTCTAGACTCTACCAGGTCCAAATCTCTCCTCCCTGTTCCTTGTAAGCAGCCTTAAGCTTTCCTGTGAGATTTGAGAATGAACAATGGCAAAATAACAAAAAGTGTCTATAAAAAGCATGAGGTGAGGGACACATGGGGTGAGGGTCCCATCTATTATTTAGGGTCTGCTAACACCGAACAAGTGAAGGGCAGAAACAGAGATGGCTCTAAATGGCTGCATCTCGACTTGGGAGACAAATTACATGAATTAAGGCACTAATCACAAAGAAGAGTACCAAATTTAATAAAAAAGCATTCTGAATGGCAATGTTGCAACCGTTTTTAAACCCTAACCCGTTTTATCTGAGTCAGTTATATCCAGATTATCAAAGCTTTTGCAACACTATAGTCAAATACAGCACACAATATTACAGAATTAAAAATACACAAAAAAATATAGTAGATTCAAATACATTTTATGAGATTCCAATAGCTCAGACTGTCCCTTTGTCTGGCGAGTTTGATAGCAGCATGCCTTGGATCAATGACTTCTTTTTTTGACAATGATAAGAGCCTATAACTGGAAAGGTTAGCCTAAATAACGGGAGACTCGTGTCATTTGTCAAGGTCCCGGGAGGGCGGCTCTGTACCTACCACTCTGTATCCGAGGGCCAAGTGAAGACAAAGCAGCAGGGCACGACAGCGGAACAAAAGCCTCCCGCTCCTCCGAACACAACGGGCTGGCCGGCACTTTCAGCAGCATCCTCGCACATTACTTTGCAACTTAATCCACATCGTTTCAGTGCTCGGGGTGGGCCTGGGCTCGCGGGGAAAGACCACCGATGTGTGTGTGGACGCTGTGTTTGAGCAGGGAGGAGGAGGAGGAGGAGGAGGCGCGCTGATGCTGCTGCTGCTGCTGGTCAGTCATTCAGAGTCCGCGGAGGAAGAGGAGAGAGACATGAGCTTGTGAATGGCCGCGTGCGAGACTGAATCAGAGCGCTGCCGCCTTTACGTGCCATGGGAATGCGCAGTGCTGTCGACGCTATAGCGGTATAACGAGTTTAATTGGGCTACCGAGCAACGGACGCCTAAGTAAAAAGGATAAACAATACATAATGTGCTCATACAGCTAACGCGGTGTCTGCAGCCGGCTTTTCCATGTGCTCCTTGACTTAGACTTTATTTAACTTTATTGATCCACAAAGGAAATTATTTGGGCACAGTCGCTCATTCATCACAATATAATATAATAACAAAGAGCAAACAATATAAATGGTAAGAATAAATTCTAAATAAGTAGCAAAAAGATAGAAAGAGACAGGTGTGAAACGTACAAGTCAAAATTAAATACAAAAATAAGTAATAGAATACAAAATCTCAGCTATATATAAGAGGTCATAGGAAGACAATGCAACAATGATATGATGACTGACAGGACATAAGGTTATCTGTTACATAAGGGTGAGTTGTTGTACATCTGACTGTGAATAATTTGCACGCAAGTACATAGCTACCGTAAAAAAAAAACCTTGAAGCGACTCTATAAACTCAAGTTATCTCAATATAGTGCAGATGATTCTGCGTTATCCATTTCACATCCAGCACTAGTTTAAATGTAGTTAAAGAAATGGCCTGCAGATGGCACCAGATCACATTCATTACAAAGTTACAAAGCTTCTCCGACTGACAAATTATAATGAAAGTCAAACATCATATAAAGCTGATAATAGATTACAAACTCAAATCTCGATTGTAGTTTTCCTACTGGGTCAGGACAGACTTAAAAAGAGTTAGCAGCTTGACACATAATACAGTGAATGGGATTAGCCAGGACAACATCTGTCTCTGCACATTAAGTTTTCGAAGAAAAAACAAAACAAGCAAACCTAAACATTAAGCTAGATGTTTATGTTATAGGTGGGCAGTTGACTGACGTGAAAACATATTATAATCAATACTATTACAGACCTGGTTGTACCGCTGTAACATGCAAAGGTCTGTGCTGACCGTATATATTAATGCAGCTTATGGTGCTAACCTAGCATAGTTTTACTGTGGACAAAATGCACAAACGGAACTGCGCTGCTCAGTCAAAAGAGGCGCCAGGTTTGTAGCCTCCAGATAAACTCCCTGCACAGACGATATCATGAAAATCTACGTGTTAAATTGAGTCTTGGTGTAGGTTACGACAAAAGGGTCTTGAGTTTGTGTAAGTTAAGGTACTACACAGTATGTGGTACTACACACAGTCTGTGGTACTACACACAGTCTGCGGTACTACACACAGTCTGCGGTACTACACACAGTCTGCGGTACTACACACAGTCTGCGGTACTACACACAGTCTGCGGTACTACACACAGTCTGCGGTACTACACACAGTCTGCGGTACTACACACAGTCTGCGGTACTACACACAGTCTGCGGTACTACACACAGTCTGCGGTACTACACACAGTCTACAGTACTACAGAGTCTGCAGTACTACACACAGTCTGCAGTACTACACACAGTCTACAGTACTACACAGTCTGCGGTATTACACACAGTATGTGGTACTACACACAGTCTACAGTACTACACACAGTCTACAGTACTACACACAGTCTACAGTACTACACGCAGTCTACAGTACTACACACAGTCTGCAGTACTACACGCAGTCTACAGTACTACACGCAGTCTACAGTACTACACACAGTCTACAGTACTACACACAGTCTGCAGTACTACACACAGTATGTGGTACTACACACAGTATGCGGTACTACACACAGTCTACAGTACTACACACAGTCTGCAGTACTACACACAGTCTACAGTACTACACACAGTCTACAGTACTACACACAGTACTACACACAGTCTACAATACTACACACAGTCTGCAGTACTACACACACACAGTACTACACATACTACACGCAGTCTGCAGTACTACAGTACTACACACAGTCTACAGTACTACACACAGTCTACAGTACTACACGCAGTCTACAGTACTACACACAGTCTACAGTACTACACACAGTCTACAGTACTACACACAGTCTACAGTACTACACAGTCTTTGGTACAACACCAACTAGTGATCTTGGCTAACAGCAGCTAACGCTAACTAGCGCTAAGCTAAGTACGTGTTTAAACTTGTTTAAACTTCTTACCTGTCTATGCTACATTCTCTGATATTCATCCTGGCAGTGGTCTGTCCACCGGCCCGGGGTCTCAAAAGTTGTGTTAAATGTGTGAGATTGGCTGTAGCTTGAATGTTCCACAGATTTGTGTTTGGTTAAGAGGAGCACAGACTAACGAGAGAAAATCACACAAACTCTCGCGAGAACTCCAGACTAGTTCACGGATTCTTGGGCGTATGATTAAAATGTATGTTCTACTCATGGATCTTTTATAAGAAAAAATAATATGAAGAAAGATTGTGTTATATTTTAATGATTTTACTTTATTTTTTCTGTTAATCTTCGTATTCTCTCTGTCAGGATATTAGAAACAATCATAAGTTTTGTTTTATAACATGTATTTCTTAAGACACAATGAAACAAAATTAGGCCGACATAGTTTGCATTATCAAAAATAATTTTTCATCATTTTGGTCCACTTTGCCTACTATACTAAAAAAGAAAAAGAAAAAAACTTAAATAAAATATACAATGCCCCTGTAAAATTAAAGTGTATTTACATTTTTTCTTTGAGAAATTAATAAATAAAACAAAATAATAAAAAAAATAAATAAACAATAAGTTAAATAACTAAAAGATAACTATAAAATTATATATTCCATAAAATAAAAACAATATTGGAGTAAAAAGGCACAGTGGAATATTGGGAAAAATTGGGTAAAATCATTGTTTTTTAGATCTCAGCATCTCCTCCAGGTAGTCCATGGCAAACTGGATCTCCTCAGGCGTCAGAGAGTCTGGGAGACCTTTAGGCAGAATCTTCTTCCTGCGTGGGCGGTTCTCGTCCCCTCTGTTCCAGGCTGGCTCTGCTCTGGACCAGCTTTGGCCCAGGTGAATCCCCCGTAACCTCATCTGGAGCCAGTCTCGCCGCTCCTTCTGCAGCTTGTGCTCTCCTCGATTGTGCATGAGCTGCACTTCACTCACTGTTCTTTTGCTACAACATATAGAAGAAAACTGTTAAGGTTCAACACAGACATTTATTACACATTGGTATTAAGGTATTTTGAAAAGCCAGATAGCACATTTTTTATTCTAAGTAGTATATTTCGAGGAAGTATGTACCTTAGAGGATGTCCTTCACAAACTGTTGATAAAATGATAATGAGCGGTAGCAGTAGCATTTTACAGTCCACATTCATCATTTTGAAATTCTTTGTTGATCTGTGAAGAGAAACATGAATCATATTAATTTTGAACAATGGAGTACTTTGTAAAATACAAAAAAATACAACAAATATATACATATAAATATAAGTTATATAAAGAACAAGTTTAGCCAACAGTAAGACAATTAAGTTGCCCTACTTAAAATTAGTATAAGTGCATTAACATCTAGTGATCCGTTAGATTCAAAACCATAAAAAACATCTCCTTTTTCAGACCTACCTTTTTAGTTTCAGATCAGATCCAGTGTAAGACTGTCTTTAGAGAGGTCTTTAGCAGGTTAGTCCTATACTTATACTCTTGAGGCCTCTAGTGTGTGTCCCTTATATAGCCCCTAGCCCAGCCATTGATGAGCAAGCTTCATTATTACTGTTGATGTCACATGGGCTGCTCCTCTTTGGGTAGGACAGAAATGACAGCACCTCCTGAGCTGGCCCTTTCATCGGCCTCATACCAGACCAAACTTGCGTCCCAATGTCGTGAACCCACATAACCCCACACATTCACTCGCTGTTTTCCCCGTCATAGTTCTTCACCTTTTTAAAATTTCACACCCAGATTTTTGTCCTACCTATTTGTCCTGCTTCTCTGCGACCTTTAGGTCTACTGCATGACAATGGCAGTAACTGCTGGACAGATTTGTGGCTCACATTGGCCATTTAGGTAGTTTCCCTGGCTACGTAGGCATTTCACTAAAGAATTAACATAGTTTTAATGAGGCGGCAACTTTAAAAGAGCTTTTATGTAGCTCTGACGTCAGGGAAATGTTTTGCGTAAAAGTAAATAAATAAAATTAGTACTGAGCTGACAGTTGTCAACATAAAATGACGTGAAAGTGCTTGTGAGACATGTGGTATTTTATATTTTCCTTGTAATACAAATGTTTTTTGTTAAGTTTGGTTGCTATTATTGTTGTTGTTGTTTTTGTTTGTTTGTTTGTTTGTTTTTAATGAGACTATTTCAATTCAAAAGTTGAGAAAATGTATACTTAGTTAAAATGTGTGGGAATACATGTGCAAGTAGCTTGTATTAGATATAGAATGAGTCTATATGACTGAGCTAGCTCACAACATCCGGAAAGACATTAATTTATGTCTTGCTCATTCAAAAGTGAGGTCCACTTGACCCAAGCAGCCGTCACATGACCTAAGTCAGACTGTCCTCTCTGACCAATGGGACCTTGGACCCTCGGACAGCATGCTGGCATCCGTAGTGACCACACAACATATTTCGTGTCATATACATGTTGACAATACTGACAATAAGACATTGTTTACAACCAGTACCCTGTATTTTGTTCAGGATCTTTAGAGCTGATATGCTGATTCAATATTTTAAAACATTTATATTATAATACACTGCCTTAGTGATTTATGCTCATGCCTACATTTATCCACAACATCAGAGGTCAAAGGTCATGTACCCTTTATGACACTGCTATCTCCTTTTAGCTCTGAATGACATCCCATTTGAACTATGGTGATGGTCTGTTACATTAAGCAATGGTGCATTTTAATGCAGAAAGACTGATCTTTGCAATGAAGGCTTATATGTGTGTGCCTGTGTATGCCTGTATACCCTCATTCTCTGGATGATCATTTTCAGTCATTTCACTTTGTACAATGTATGTAACTATTGCTTACTTTATCGTATTGTAACATTGCCAGCACCGCCTACTGCAGCTTTAAAGGCATTTGGGTGACAGGTCCAAATACATATCCTCATCATCTCAGTGGGCTGCTGGCTCCAGAATCTGTTCCCATGAGAAACAAGAGCAGGGCATTCCTAGAGAAGGTAGAGTATGACGTTATGCCTGACACCTCACTGATCTGTGGGCTTTGACAACTGCACATGTAATGGACTCCAGTGAATAACTGTCACAGTTTGTATTTGAAAAGTCTGTAGTAAAAAACAGAAGCAAAAATGCAGCAATACAACTTTTGAAGGTGGCCTCATCCATAAAACACTACAAGCTTGTGTATAATGGGAGCCAATTGATCTAAAATACAAAATGATCTATTGTATACATATCTATACATTTCCTAAGCAAAATTATGAAAACAGAGATAACACTGAGTCATTCTTTTCATTAAGGGGCTCACAGACATTTCTTTGAAGGATCTGTGCACCTGTTCCTACATAAACATGGCTCAGATATTAAAGCTGTTTACATACCAGCTTCACATGATTTATGATGCTCGATGACACCCCTCAAAGTCTCTGACCTCCCTCGCTTTCCCGTGATGCTATTACAGACTCACAGCCTGTTGAGATGACACCCGCTAAACACATTCCCCTGACCTTTGCTACGGACCCTAAACCTCGTCTTCCTCATTACCTCATGCTCACTCTATGTGGACTAAGATACATAAGCATTCAAAGGCATCACGGTGCGTGGGAAGACAAACCACAAAACTAAAATCCCCCCCCATTGTAAACAGCCCCACAAAACTGTAAATAATGGAATAATACGTTCTAGGACAGTTGTTAAATGATGCACAGTAAATGTCGAGTCACAGTCCAAAAAGACAAAACATAATTTCTATAACTAAGACTTGTGGTATGTAGCAACAGAATATAATGTGCACATAAGATCTTCTAAGACAGTGGTTCCCATTATTGATACTGAAAACTTTGGTGTATTGGATATCGGCTTCCAAGATATCAGTTTAGCCGATAAAGCATTTTGGTCTCTAAATTGGTGTATTAAAATAATTTACTGCCCAAAATGTCTCATATTAAAATAATGAGACTGAGTAGACACAACCAGTATGTTCTGGTCAGGGCTGGGATCCAAGTGACAGCCCCTGTGTTTGTGGATAATATCCTACAACTCTGCCACTGCCATCCTGAATGAGCTCTGGGATACTGTACAACTTTTGACCAGTAGAAAGCCTGATCTTGCCAAATCTCAGAAGCTAAGCAAGGCTGTGCTGGTTAGTATTTGGATGGGAGACTGTTTGGAACATCAGGTGCCACAGTGGGGCACCAGTGGCAAAAACTGCTGTTGTTGTGTCCTTAGGCAAGATTTAAATCAGATTTATTATTATTAAATGCAACTGTCCTGTCTGTTGCCTCTGAAAATGTGGTTATTTTACAAACGCAGTAGATGTACTTACACACTAGACAGGCTAGGCTTATAATTGTGGCAACAAAAGTTTATGTTTCAGTAATAAAAACTACATCTACAGTGTACTGTACCACAGCCGTCAGGTGTATCAGTAAGGCAAGCTGCTGCACTAGGTTTTATTAATAGACTGCAGGAAGGTAATATGCAAGGGACCTGCTATTTTAGGTAAGGCTTGAATGTTTGTAGTAAATGACAGCATGTCCTAAGAGGCTGACACAGAAGAGGAATACCATAACACAAATGCTACACATTTCAAGTCACTCACAGCTAAAACAAGTGTGAATATGATCAGTGACACGTGGTATGATGACAAGCTGCAGGTTCATTAGAGCTGGCGGTTAAATACTTAATCACCAATTTGCTCTCTACATTAAAGGTATGCTGGATTTTTACATATTTCTAACTAAAGCAATAGAATAATCAAGTGCTGCTGGCATTATATATTTAATTTTCAATAGTCCATACTGCTGGTTTACTGGTATACATTTAGCTGATGATTAGCATAAGGATAATGCATTTCTGTTTTTTAAATGTCTATCTCACATACTGAAAGGCTCCATCTTCCATTTTCTTTCTTGATACATCTAACATACCTTGGTACTGAGGTCACTGAAATTTATAAAAACCTTTCATAAAATGACAATGATTTGCTGAGCATCCGAGGCATGTCATGATGGTCATTATTTATGATTGAGGAGCGTGGCTTTAACAGTGAGCTCATCTGCTCTCCATTCATGATTGAGTCCTGACCCGCTTTTCCTGGAACCGTTGTCCGCAGGCCCCCTCTGTATATACACTCAATGGGTGGGCAACGAAAGGTGAAACAATTGACAACTTTTAGAAGGAAATCCATTTGTTGACATCCAAATTCTTGTCACGTTGGGACAATATTTAAAAAAGGCTTGCTTCATTCTTAAAAGGGTGCATTGTGTAACCTCTCTGGTGGAGTTTGCCATTTGCTTTTGTCCATGGAGATGTCATTGCTTTATCTGGAATGTTTCACAGTATGACATCAAACCTTCTATCATCATGGAGCCCAAACCAGGCCAAGTTACAGGTCAGATCTGTGATTTGAACTCCATTCCCCTTTCAGAATGCCTGTTTGTATTTTTGAGCAATAAAACTACCTGTAATTGAATAAATGCACATTAGATCTGTATAATGTCATACTGAGGAATATTTCAAGAAGAGCAATGCCATTTCCATTGAGACAAAAACATGATGCACCCAGGCGCCCAATTGAAAAGTATCATAGGGCACCTTCAATATTTTTCCTATTATTACCTAATTATGTATTTAAAAATATCTTCAAGCAGACAGAAAAATCAGTCTAACTGAAAACAAAAACATTTGAAAAAGGAAGAAAAAGTCTCCTGAGTTACTGTTACTCTTCGTGAGTCTTCTGGCAGTGTCCTCAGTTTTTGATGGTGTGAAGACTGATTTGTGTTTCTTGGTGGGTAAAAACATTAATGCTTTTATATAATTTCATTAACAGTGTGAACTTTCCTGGGGTCTGAGAATTGAAGCTGACAAGCCATGACCACATGAAGTCTTCTGCCTCTTCATCACCAGACCAGACTTACAGACATAAAAATAGATATTATGTAGTGACAATACAGTCGACAATATACAGAGGTGATAAGTATTTCTACTTTGAACTTCGTCCTATTCATGTGGACTCCTCTTTTTGGGTGCTTGTGTGTTCTGGATGACTTTAACAGCAACTAGATTACCCTTTCGCTTTATGGCAGCTGGATTATTCCTAGAATTTACAGAAGATGTATTTTCAGATGTTTTTATGTTAATTTAGATGTTTAGTTTGTTGCTGCAAAATACATAAAATAAGTGCACATAAACACCGATGTGTGTGCTAAATAAGAATGGATTAAAAACAAGGCTTAAAATTGAGGGAAAGGCGTGAACATTATTATTTTTTTTGCTAAATGGCACCATCTTCTGTTCATAGCATGCAACTACGTGTGTTTAAGGCTCTTTGCCTAACGAATGACTATTGCTTTTGAGTAAGAAAAAAATGCATTTTGTTATTATGCGTAGAGCCGCCTAGGCCTAATATTTGGGTATATTTAGCCTAGGCCTATTTTTTGGATAAAAAAAACAAAAACAAAAACTGAAACATCATGTTGCACTAACTTGCACGATATTCTCTTCATAGGAATCAACTGCATGATTAGCAGGCCAAGCGAGAAGTGCCATGGTTTATGTAGAAGTTTGAAGCAGATTTGATGTGTTTTTCTTGATGCACCTGAAGGACACGTGAACTATTGGCGGCACCATCGGTCCCTTTGAAATTCAACTCATAACTTCAGCGCTACCTTAAAAAGGTTTGGATTTGACTTTTTATACTGTTTGGACCATTGCAACTCTTTTGTTCGTACAAAACTGCTAAAACATTATATGTAGGGGTGTCAAATTATCGCGTTAATTGCGATTAATTAATTACAGTCATATTTAGCGCGTTATGTTTTTTAAGCGCGTTAATCTCATTTTTAATCTCTAACTTTAGTGTTTCTGTATGCGAGTTGCTTTATTATAAAACCTGTTTTTATGTGTTGTTGGGACAACAGCACACACACACACACACAAAACACATTTATACATTTTTTTATTTCGGTAATTCTACTCATTGCCGGAAACCCACACAAAACGCGCGCAGTAAGAGCGATGTAAACGTTATTGTAACGTTGGCGGCGTCAGGACGAGGTCGAAGAGCCAGTAGAACAGAGTCAGCAGTGCACAGGTAAAAACACATTCGTGTCTTGGAAATTCTTCTCCCGACGTGAAATATAAAAGAAAATAACAAATATAATATCACCTACAACTTAAATGTCACTGGTGAAAACAACCTGCATAGACTCATGATGTCTGCACTACTGTCCTATAGTGACCTGCCACATGAGGGGACACGCACACAAACACACACAAACACACACAAACACAAACACACACCTTCATCATCGTCATTAACCTGAGAACGCGCGGACCACGTTTCCTTCCGTAGTTACTGCGCGGACACCGACGTGCTCCCGTGCGCCGCGTGTGGATCGTGTTTTCTCGCTACGCTGCATAAACCGCGCTTCCTCCTGTGCGCCTCTAAACCAGAACTAACACCAAGACTAAAACCAGGACTAACCCAGTCCAGGACTAAACCAGGACTAAACCAGAACTAAAACCAGAACTAAAACCAGAACTAAAACCAGGTCTAAACCAGGACTAAACCAGGATTAAACCAGAACTAAAACCCAGGTCTAAACCAGGTCTAAACCAGCACTAAACCAGAACTAACACCAGGACTAAAACAGGATTATCCATTCCAGGACTAAACTAGGATTAAAGCAGGTCTAAACCAGGACTAAAACAAGGATTAAAACCAGTGATCTCATATATAAAGCATTTCTCTATCTTTAAGTAGACAAAAGTTATCATGTTCAGATTTCCTCGTCTTTGCTACTTTACAGCAAACAGTTTCTTATTCATGGAGACTTGGGCTCAACAGACAATTTGGAGAGATTTGTTAAACAATAAATGACTTTATAAAGTCACTTTTTTTAATCTATATCAGTCTTTTGATCTGCCACAATAATGTAATAATGAATTTAAATGAAAATACCTCAAATTGAAGTATTTTTTCAGCAATTTTTAGGTGAGATTAAAATGAGATTAATTAGATTAATTAATTACAGATCATAATTAATTAATCTCTCAATTTTTTTATGACAGCACTAATTATATGATTAATGAAGCAATTAAAAAATCTGTCAAGCTATTTTTATCCGATTGTAAATACACCTTTGTTGTGTCTGTAATTGGAAAAGTTTACATAGAGTTTATATATGCGTATTTCTCTCATATAGTCGGTGCCATGTGTAGTAGGTTGGAATAAAACTATAATTAAAGGTTTAGAAGAAAGAAAAAGAAACAGATACCCCGTTTATTTTTTTCCTTTTTGTATTATTTCTCATGTGTCATCATACACATACTGGGGTATCATGCACATCTAGACCAGTAGATGGTGCTCTTAGCCGTACTGTGGGGACTAGAGGGACGCAGCCATAATAGACTAGGCCAAGTTTTCAGAATGAAATTAGCTTCAGTTATTTCAGTATATTCAATTCATATTTTAATGTTTCCAGCTTCTTCTGACTCTGGCTCCAATGCAATTACAGTGGAATATTGTCACCCCTCTCTCTGTAACTGTTGCTATGAGCCTCAAGATTTTGGTCTCAAAATGTTCACATTAACCCGCTCTGTCTGTGATCCTGGCTGCAAATTCGCCTCTGTAACCGCCAGCCTCATGAGCCTCATTTGACTGGAGCCGAACTTTATGAATGACGTTGCACTCTCTTAGTCCATTTTGTTATACAGTCTATGTTGTCCACCTTCTGAAAAAATTATCAGGAATAAAACACAATAATGAATCTGTTTTCTTGTCACATTCTTGTAACCATTTCACTTCAAATGTATGACTGAGATCTGTGAAGCCCAGCATTTCAGTTTCTCTGTTATTTTGGGTCCATGTAGTGATTGTTTCTTCAAATGATGATGCTTATTTTTCCATACAATTTGTAAGTTTGCAGTTAATCTGGTTATGTCCTTAGATGTGGAATCTTTAACGTACAGCGAAAGTGCAGGATATGAAAGTCTGGAGGTGCCTTCTGCTTTTGTTAATAGAACCAAATATTGAGACATCCTTCTGTAACCTCAAATTAAGGATTTGTTGGGTTTTCTTTACCTTAGGATCAAAGTTCAGCCATTGTCAAACTTCCATTTCCTTACCTATGTGGATACCTACCACTTTTTAATGATGTTACATATAGTTCCCCAGATTGTTCCCTAGTGTCATATAATCATAATATTTCACACTTCAGTTTGTTTAATATCAACCAGAGGCCTTAGAAAATTGATCAACTAATGACATTACTGTTTTGACTTGCTGTTAATCTTCCAAAAACATCATCTGCCAATTGGGTGATCTTAATTGCTTCATTAAAAACACAGATACCTTTAAAAATGTACTTTTCAATATGTGTAATGACAGCATTTTAACGGACAACAAAAACAGAAATGATGCTATGGGACATCTGTGTTTTACTGAATCTTACAGTAGTATTTGGATACAACATGACACAACTGTTTATGTTTTTGTAGAGCATCTTAACTGTAGAGATAAAATTGGGACCAAGACCAAAGCAGTCAAGAGTTACAATGATGGCATGGTGTCATATGCTTTGTGAAAGTAAGAAATTAAAAATAAAATGGATCTGTTAATGTCAATTTATTCAGAATAATCAAATACAAAACCAGCAAAACAGTTTCAAAGTTTCATACACACACTGGGTTGTGTTTACTTGTGCTGCTGTAGGCCTGTAGACTACAAATGGCCCAGTCTGACCTAACTAGACTGCGTTACTGTATTACTCAGACTGATATAAATACAGTGCACACACTACTCTTCAGTTTATCTATTCCAGAGTTTTCTTAAGGAATTCCACAAGAAGATGATGTGGAAACCCAAAGTCCATCTGGAGTACTACATAGCCCTGTTGACAAAAGGCAAAAGAGCAGGAGACATAAACCCCCCCAAATAATGTTAAGATGCAAAAACATGTAGTTAATAAAAAAGACACTTACATCTTGAGGGATTACTTCTGGGTTGTAAATGTCAAACAAATGGACCCCTTGCTTGTTGAGTAGTCGGGTTGTTTCTGTCTCAAGAACTGTATCGCAGCAGAAGAGAAATAAAGAAAAACTCTTTATTTTGTCAATATTTATTTCCAATGGCATCAGAGATTTCATTAGGTTATTTACCAGTCAAGACCTTCAGCACACCTGTCTTTTTCACAGCATTTTCAAGAAATGCCTGAACCTTGGTGTATCCTTCCATCTAAAACAACAAAAGTTCAGAAACTGCAGCTAATAATCTGTCAAGTTCCCATTGTCGTGTGTAAATAAACATATTACCGAATAATATTCTTCTGGTATCTTTTTTGGACTAACAAAAATGCTAAAAAGTAAAAAAAATATATATCATTAGTGCTTTGAAACATTTTAGAGTCTATCAATAATCTGTACAAAGTTCCTTTATTGTTGGCTTCATGAACTTACTCTGTGACTTTACCATGCAAGGAGACTTTCTTATTAGCGTAGGATGTCCGAATCTCCGTTATCACATTCTACAGGAAAAAAATTATTTCAAACTCACTGTAGCCAGAATATTACTCCATGTCACCCAAAAGTAAAATAATTATAAATTTTTACTAAAAATAGAGCATAATAGAAGAGTGTAATAAAAAGATGCAGAGGCTATAAGGGTATGTACACAAAAACAAGACCAAGACTCAAGCCCAGAATGATGATCCAAGAATGTTTGTAAGATGAAGACAACACATGTTCAAATTCATTTTTTTGTTTAGTATTGACCTAGACGTTGTGTTTGATGATTTAATATTAATATATCATCAGTGTTTAACTGTACATATTGCACATGAGGATACCATGTTTTTCTTGTCACCACTCAGTCTTACTAGCCTTTAGCCTATGAGAGTTTGTTGTTGTCACTGACCGTATCGAAGGACAGGGTTGGTGTAGTGGAGTCTCCACAGTGGAGCTGCCCTGAGGCCTCTGCCCACACAGTGCTTCCAAAGTCTCTGGATGTGTTCATGAATCCTGGTGATGTGCTCCACACTCTGAGCTCTGCAGAGTTGGACTCCAGTATACACTACACTCACACAGGACATAATAAGAACCTTTTTATGGAACTATTTTATATAAATCTAAAAACTGTGGAAATGCTGAGATTGCTTGATTAAATTTGAATTACTATTTTTATGATAAAACTGTAATGTACATGCATTAGGTAAAATTATAGAGATTAATGAAAAATATAAGAAGCAATTGTGTTCATAGAAAAGATAAAAAGCATTTATACTACTAAAAGTTGTTTTAGCATCTGCAGTGCACAGCGTCAGCTACTCTTTGTGAGGTTGTTGTTATTGTGGCAGTGGTTATGGGACTGTGTTTTACCTTTTGAAAAAACTCAGGCATGTCATCAGGGGGATTTGTCTTGAAAAGTTCCTGTAATGACATGAAAACATGTTTATAATCACAGTATTTGCTGAGAATAACTACAACACTCACAGTGAGCTCTGGTCCAGAGATGTTGAGTTGGAAGCGGCCATCTTCGTGAGCAGCCTTGATGAGTGGATTGAACAGCTCATCTGAAATGAAAAACACAAACAGCCTTACACAACATGAAAATCAACATGTTCACATAATTAAGGCTACAAGCATCAAAAGACCACTATAGAGGTGTGTGCTCAGACCTACGTACCTGACAACCAGAAGTACAGCATTCTATCCTCTGGCAGATGACGAGGGTTAAATTTAGACTCTTCAATAACAGCTGTAGTGTTGTTATATTTTGTAAAGCCCTGACAAACAAGTGGTGAAAGTTGAATCAGAAAAAAATGAACACTATGGGATAATAAATCTGTGTCTGCTGAACCTTGTGATAGGATTCGATGTAGTTGTTGGTGATGACTGGACTCCCAGTGACACCAATGTCCACACTGATGCCTCCAGCAGTCAGGAAGTTTTCTGCAAATGCCACACTCAGTCATGGACAGTCCACACAGGAGCACACAAGGAAGGCTGAGACACCTACCTGCAGTGTCCTGGATGAAGTCTGCCAGTATGTTTGCCACTTTATTGATCTCCTGACAAATCTGAATACAAATAACACATGTGATTGAGGCCGCTCCAGGCAGCACCAGTACATGTAAGTCTTTTATGTGTTAATGTGTATTAGACTGTTATTGACGCTTTAATGAAAATACTGCAGAAACAAATGAACCTTTATCTATCTTTATTAACTTACCTGTCCTCTGACGGCTACTTTGATAGTAAAAGTGAGGAAATGGGTGAAGACTTTCTTTAGCCAGTTTGGTCTGTTAACATATTGACATTTTAAGTTAAACACACAAAAAACAAAACAAACAAAAAAAAAAAAACAACATTTGATTTTGAGGCAGAAAGAGTTGACCTACTCTCTGTCTCCCTGCAGCAGCAGGTCCAGTTTATGGAATTTCAAGTAACAGTCAGAAGTGTCAGCTGACACTTTACCATTACCACAGTCTAAAAAGTCAGAAATAAACAACAACAACAACAAAAACATTTGCAAAAAACATAATACTTTTACCGGAAACATTTTACAGATAACATTTTCAAGAAGGCCAATTTTAAAATGACAAAACACTCATGACTTTTAGGTGAAAATTGGGTACATACACAGTTTAGGATTGATCCCAAGGTCAATTTGGGACTCCACTTCAAAATTCACTGAATGTCCAAAATTGAGACTTAAAAATATAACAACATTTGTATGAGTAAATGGTGACATAACTGTCATATTTTACACTAATGTTTGACTCACAGCCAGCTGCCGTATGCATACTGTATGGTGCCTTTGAACACTACAGACACATTACTGATGTTCAAAGAGATACCCTCACCAGGGCGCAGCTCAAATGTACTCTGGCCAATGGTCAGGTTGTGAATCTCTAAACTGAGAACATAAAAAGCCTCATTTAAATAAATAGTTATTAAATAAATAGTTAATAACATTCATGTATCTTTGCAAATGTGTCCTCACTTATCCAGTCCGTAGACAATTTTGCTCCCAAACAGCAGAGCCTTCTCTCCTTTTATTGTGGGATATTTGGTGTGTTGGAATGCAGCTTCTATCACTTTAGTGGTTTTCTCATTCACTATAACAAAACACAGAAAATATTTGAAGAATACAATTATTTGTATGTAACATTAATTGTTTGTTATATAATGTGTATTAAACAATTATACTATAGATTGTTCAATATTTTTACTAAATCAAGTAAAAAAAATAGGCCTCAGTAACTGCCGCATTAGTTTCTCATTCACACAAAAGGCAGTCTCTACAGAGAAACATGAGTACTTACAGATCACAGCAGCAGGGTAGGTGAGACGACAGGCTACGCCTGTGAATTTGTAGGCTTGGGCAGGATCCTTCAAACATTCCTGGGACATCCCACCAGTACACACTACCAGCAAAAGAAATGACCACCACCAAGGCATTTTTCACTTTGACTTGTCTGAAAACATCTGTATCGGTCAGGCTCTTTCTTGGTGGTCCCTTTAACTCTCCAGCTGTCAGAGTCTTTAGCCAATGGTGAGCAGGGATGTGATCAAACAGTGGACACAGAATACCCCAGAGCAAACTGGACAAAGTGCAACTCGTTCTGACAAAAATCAGAGTAAAATAAAACAATGAAAAAATCAATACTAGAGTAGGATGCACCAAACTGAGAGAATCTCTGAAGAAAAATATATAAATATTTAACAAAATTCTATCTTCAAGCAAATAAACTTTAACAAATTTTATAATTACCCACCTCTGGTCTAACACCACACCAGACCAAGTTAAAATGACTATTGCGTTCCTATTGCATCCAAATCTTCAGTTTGCTCTGAGTAGGGTCTGATGCCAAGGTACATCAGTAACAGTACACTGTGTCCTGACTCCTGGAGACTTAATGGCCCTTTCCTTTTGTGAGCTGTAACACAAAGGACACAGGAGGCGAGTATGTGAGGGGCCACTTTGAAAAGGTAGATCTTAAATAGGGAATAAAGGCACTGGTCTTATTTATCATTTTGTTTTATGCAAAAATGTAATTGCTTTCTATAAAAGTGCAAAATTGTGTCAAAGCTACCAGTCACTGTGTCCCTTTTTTTCTTTCTGTTTGTGCTACTGTGACCAAGTTATGACCTTAGTGGATCAATAGTTTGTGTAAGTCTACGCCTACTAAGTATGTTTGCATATAAGTTGACTTAAGGTCAGTGAGCGTAAATTTGTTTCAAGGATATCCGAATAAAGATTCATCAGTACTACATATTTGTCATTCTGTAAATCATGAAAAGAAGAGTAGTGGTGTTTCCTGTTTTCACATAAACCAAGACAAATAGAAAAGCAGAATATAATACAGATAAGAATATTTATTGTATCTTATTGCATCACTTTCTACAACAGTCGTATTCCCATAAACTAAAAAAGTGTCATAAAATATAAACAAAATATACAATCAATGAACCAATGTGCTCGTCAGTGTTCTGTTTCCGCAGTTCACTTTCAATGCAAACAAAACAAAAAAAAGCTTATCAAATGTGTTTTACCACATTTTAAAATGTTCTGCTGTAGTCCACTTTGGAAAAAAAACAACAACTTTAAAAGTAAAAGACATTTTGGCACCATTAAATGATTTAAGATATTGGGCCCCTTTTAAAAAACTGAAATTCACCTAAACATTTGAGTGAAGGCTTGCATAAGATACATATTATAAAGTGCTTTGAGTACATACACAATATATTTACAAAATGTTCAGAGAATGTCCAAGATATGTCCATATTTTACAAGTGAAGAGCAGTTTTTACATTTGGTCATGATTATTAGGCTTTCTTTCTCCAAGGAAACATCTCACAATGCAGTGTTTTCTGTAAACTTTAAAATCAAATTGTTTGATAAAGTTTTATAGTATATTTCTACTACTTCAGCTTCAGGTGGCTGTAACATGCTGCACTGAGAAGATAAATACACTATTACCTGTATACCTGTAAGGTACATCTTCACTGCTGCCACCTACTCTTAAGTTTACACATCTGCAGTCCAGATTATTCCCAGTTCACAATTAGCACAGCAAAAGGGTAGTGCTATTGTGCATAAGGCTCCAGAAATAAAATCCTTGGATATTTCTTTAGAAGTCTGTCTGTGCATGTGTGTGAGGGAGAGGATGGATCTCAGTTGGCGACTCCCTGGGGGACGTCAGGGATGAGAGACGAGAAGAAGGTTTTGAAGAAGACCCAGGCGGTCCACATCACAGACACCTGCTGAGAAGGCACTAACACAGCAGTCATGGGTCCTGGTTCAGAAGTCTCCTCAGAACCATCTTCATTGGGTCTGTCCACCTCATCAGCAGCAACCTAAAGAAGAAGCACAAGAATGTTTATTTAAGCACATTTGCAAGTACATATAAACAAAACACATCTAAATACAATGGGACGCTAACTCAAATAAGAGCACAGAGGAATTCTTACAGGTTCTGGGTTCTGGTTTTCAGGGGCTTGTGGAGGAATGGGGGGTTGCACTTGTACTGCTCGTCTTCTGAAAGGGAACCATCCAACAGTATACCTGTAAGGAAAAACAAGAAAAACATTAATATCAGGTACAGGATACCAGCATTAGAAACCTCAAGAGGGACATTCCTGCAACAAATATTTGTTATATAAAAATAGCACCTAAGTAAGTAGCTTAGTCCTGATCAAAAGTACTGATAAAACACATCAGTAAACTGTTCAAAACTTTTCACATAATAACCACCCACTGATGCTCAATATATTTTGTAGCGTGTAGCTGTGAATAAAGCACTGTACACACACACTGGTTCAAGAGGCACATGTCCCAGTGGAATGTGTATCAGGGTCAGCAGTTACGTAACAGAGAGAGACATGTGAGCCCTCAACATGATCTTAACTTCAGATATGTTACTTCCTTCAGCTCCTCTAGTTTTCTAGTTGTCAGGAAAAATATTCCAGGAAGTAATATGTTCTGACATTTATTAATTTGATTGCAAACAGACGCTCCTTTAACATAAAGGAAATATCTTTCATATTATTTAAAAGGGAATTTCAGTTCCTACTTTGACATATGATGAAAAAAACATGCAAAGTCTGTTTGTTTTCACTCTGAGATTGTGCTCTAAACACTCCTACAACATCTGAATTACAACCACAAAGACAGGTAATAATAAATCTAGATATTTGGTAGTAGGTGAATTAGTTACAAGAGAAAATGAGCTGAAACAAAAAAGTTATGTTATTTTACTATTGTGTGTAAATCCTTGTCTTGTCTACTACCAGCAGGCTTCCAGCAACAATATGATTGCTGAAACTGTGTAACACTTGGTTTATTATGAGTTTAACTGGTTAGTGTACAGTAAGAAAGAATACAGAACACTGCTTTGAAATAATTGTTTTTGGATGATAATAGTCACTTGAACAATACTTTTATACTTTTTTTATACTTTTCTTTAAGCCCCATCTATGAGAGCTGAGTTTGTGCAGTGGTTTGTTTGCATGTGTTCTTGGTGCACAGGCTCAGATGTCAGCTATTGCTTTGTTTACAGTAAGACTTCACTTGTTCAACAGGTTTATAATGTTATGTCAGGTCTCCAAACTGAGTCCAACACTAACACTTAGCATTTTAAAGCAACAGGCACTCAAGCTCTGTGGAGAACCAGACTTTTGCAGTACTTATTGTACACTGTTTATGTAGTACAGTATAATGGGAAACTCAATGGGAAACTGTAGTTTATGCTGTGGACTATGGTTGAAATTCCTCAGATGTTGAGGCTGTGTGGGACATGCAGCTGTGTGCACTTACATGTACATGAAGAACAGCATGCCCATCACCAGCAGGAAGCGACTGAGGTTGGAGTTGAAGTAAACAATCATGAGCAGAACTCCTAATCTGGCAGCAGAGTAAAACCAGTCCAACCAATCTCGTTCCATGTCCTCCTCATCTTCCATCACAGGCCCGCCCTGTGCATTCATCCGCATGTTCTGATTGGCTACGCCGGGGTTAATGAAGGCTGCGTCCGGAGCTGGATTCTGATTGGCTGGTAGGTTGTCGATTGGGTTTTGATTGGCCAGAGGAGCTGGAACTGGTACTTGATGTGGTGCAGGGACAGGGGGGTACTGAGCTATTGTTGTTGTGGTTTGGTGCAGTGGTCCTGTGCTTGCTGCTGCCAATGCTGCATGGCTGTAGTGAAGAAGATGAGTGCACAGTTAGAGTTATAGAGGGTCAAAGATGCTGTGACAGTCATATTTTAGTGAACTTACTATTGCATATAATACTGTCGTGCATAGACGTGCTGTAGCCATAGGAGCTGCTGGGCGCTGTACAAAGAGTATGTGGGGAATGATGGCTGTGTCATTGCTGGTGTTCCATACCTAAGGACAGAGATAAACAAACTATGAAGCAAACTGGGAAAAATCAAACTTTGGAATAATGTCAAAAGTACAAAAAAATGTGAACAGAAAATGTGTTCAATAATTTGTTTACTTCTCATAAAAGTGCTGGACTGGATTCCAATGCTTCATTCATAAACTTACATTTGAGCTGTGGGCCACACAGGAGCTCCAGTGGGAGGGGAAGGCACTCCCCTCTGTCTTAGCTCTGGAGCAGCTGGACCTTGGACAGATGTGGAAGCACTGCTGGAGGGCGAGGAATGTGAAGTCACTGCCTCTTTACCCTGAAAACATAGATTTACAATGTTAAAGGGGAACTATTGTAGACCATGCTCTGTATTGTACACAGAAGATCTAAGATAATTTAGTAATTATCTGTCTATTCCCAGTGTCGTTTTTTCTTAAGAAAATCAAAATGGCTTCTTTTAATTTGCCTAAAACCCCTTGGTTAAACCAAAACCTGAAGTGAAAATGTGCTCTCTTCCATGGTTGGCTGAGAATGACACCATATGAAACTATGCACCTGTTGTTCAACTGACTGTACAGTCTGTTCCTGCACAGCAAATCGGCCCTTCATTGAATACTTTTTACAGTAAAAATATCTGTTTTTATATATCATACACCTTCTCTTGTATGAGTGAATTAAACAACAGCAGGCAATACATGTTTTATCCTACCTTTGCAGCCATTGTTGTTTGTGGAGAGTTCTTTACTGCACACACCAGGTGCAATGTTACAGTGGAGTCAGTCTGAAAAGAAAAACATGGAAAATGTCAATAAGAGACAGGGTTCAAACAAAGACTTTTCCAAAAGATCAAAGTTTGATGGTTTCTCAGTTTTTTCAAGCTGAGATGGGTGAAATGGCAAAACTGGTAATTTTCCTGATTTATTAAAATGGTTTTCTTGTAAGCAGTGTTTGAAAAAATTATAATTTTAAAGAAGGTTACCAAAGTAGATGGGAATAACATTTCTAATGTGTACACAAAAATGCTATGATTTATTGTTAAAGCCTTTTCAGTAACTTGAGCTTGACCAAGATCCATGCAACAAACAAAACAAATGAAACATTATACTGGACATGTTCAGATAAGAAACAAAGGAAAACAAGGTCACATCCACTATTAGCAACAACAGACTTTGCCATGGGTGGGTTCATATACCTGTCTCGAGAGGTCTTTAATGTGGAGATGGTCAGGAAGAAGTTTGCCAGAATAGATAAGTCTCTGTTCATTCACAGCCTGTAGCAAAACAAGAATTGTAAGGATATTATAAACAACAATGCTGCAAACAATTTTCAAAGGTTTACTGGTATTAAAAGAGTACAGTCTCCCACACTGTTACCTCGACACTAGTCATTAAGCAGTACTCTGTGATCTACAGCTGACAAAGTGCTTTTACGCCTTAAAAGCGTAAAGGTAAACATTAAAGGCTGTTTTAGCTTTTAGTCGTATCTATAATGGGCGAAGACGAAGGATTATCATTAAAACACCTCTTTTACAGTTTAACTTTGAGAATTACGCGTCAAAACTTAGAAGGCGAGGTTGCGAAAGCGAAATTGTCAGAAAGCTATTTTGGCAGGGTTTTCCGGGGCATTCCAGAAGAGCCCGTGAAGGGTATGGCGCGCTTCTATATAATTATTTCGGTAACATAGATGATCTTTTCCTCGTGATAACTCACCGGTTTAGTGGGGTAGACAGTAGACAAATGCATTTTCAAGTTCTTTACAGTCCAGTTGACATCGACGCCATTGACGGTCTGATCTTCCTGATGCTGGTTAGGCGTTTTTACGATGATAGAAATGGTCTTCAGTGGGGAACCTCGTGCCTCCTCCATGTTTGTCACTGTTCTGATCTATTACTATTTAAATTCAGTTAGTAATCGCTAAGTCTTAAATAATCAACGTGAAATGGCAGAGTTTGAAGACACTTGATGAGATCTCGGGAGCAGCCTGACACACGGGGCTTTAGGGAGGTGGTGAGTTGTTTCCAAACAGTGTGGAAGCCGCTGATTGGCTGGTCCACGCTCGTGCTCGACGTGGAGCCTGTTGAAATCGTCCACATATGAGCATGCGCAGTGAGGGCTTTGCAAAGAAAGACCACACTGCGCATGCTCAAATGTGCAGCAAAGACTTTGCCCTCTCCGCACATCTGAGCATGCGCAGTGAGGGTTTTTTTTCCGCTAAAATCGTCTATTGTTGAGAACACATCACATTGGTCGTTTTGTTATACTCAAAAAAATAAACGTTAATTTTGTCTTCCGAAACATGTCTACTAGGTAATTGCTTCTCTCAGTTTATTGTCTTTAAAATGAATCAACTTTGTGAGAGTGTATTGTTCTGTCTGTCACATTGAACAGCGGAAAGGAGGAGGACTCTTCTTGCAAATTAAAGTCACGTTATTACATCAGTTGCACCTTTTCGCAGTCTATGGTTACATCATTTGCTTAATCAGTAAAAACATTTCATCTACAAAAACACATTTTTGAAATGTAAACCCCTTTTCATAAAATTTATCAAAGTGCTACAACTTTTCTTTGCCTCTCTCGGCTTTATGGACATCAAAAACGCTATAAATAAAGAATTTATCACTAGCTATGAGCTCTCATTTAATTTGTTTTATTTATATTTTTTATTTACATTGTTCCTGTCTGACCTCTAATTTGTCATGCTTAATTTACTTGACCATTTAACATTGCCAATTTGTTTGTATTATATATTTTTGCAAAAAAAAGCTTAATCATTAACCTGTTTCCTCTAAAATTACCAAAGCATGGTTTCATTTTCTTTAGGTAGGTGGGAAAAGATCTGAACAGTTAACAGTCACTTTATTTGCATGTTAATTCACATTTAGAATGGAGGGACTTCACATGTGTGGTGTTATTTATGTTATGCAATCAAGCATAGGGTGACCAGAATTTCAAAATCAGAAACTGGGACACTTTTGGTTTGGGGCAGTTGGTAATAATTAAATTGTGAAACAAGTGCATTATTAAGGAGAACTGCTTTGCACTCGGCCCATTCATGACTTACTCAAAACTAACATGAGCCTGTGTAGTCACATTTTCTTTGTGTTTTAGTATTTTTTAAGATGCATTTCTGTTTTTTCATGAAAAATTTCAATTTAAGCATCTCTTTACTGTTGGCAGGTATCAAATTGGTCAAAAATAGAGACACCTGAGACATTTCTTGTATAAAACTGACACAAATCACTGGTTTTGTATAAATCTGCTGGGACAGGGGACACAGAGCTAAACTAGGATTGTTCCAGATTGAAGCACACAGATTAACCAGGTTAAATACAACATTTCGAGAAAAATAAATATTGTAAGCTAATTCATGACATTTCGTTTTATTACTTTCTTTTCTCTGAAAGGTCAATGTCCAAGGTTCAGCAAAACACCTGTCATTATTTCTATCTCAACTGTGATGCTAGGCAATGAACAGTGAATAAATTGTTTATTCTTTATTTGTAGATAGATCTGCAGACCCTGGACAGGTGCACACACACTAAAATCACACAACACACTACAATTGCAATCCTATAACTACTAATCCTTGTTAACATTAGCTCAATAAAATACAATTAAGTGCCACCATTTCAAATACATTATGGCTTCCTACAAATCCCTGCAGTAGCTTTCTTATTTTCTTTTTTATTAATCTCTTATATAATTCCATACTTATATATACAAGTCATTCAGGCTATACACAAACTATTATACTTAATTTTTTTCACATTTCCTACTGAATCATAAATAATAACATAACTGAAGGATAACAAAGGGCACTTATTGGCAGTAGAAAGTCAGAACATTCTCTTGGTTTCCTCTGACCAACAGGACGGGAGGTCGAAGATCACGCGAAATAAAGTCCAGCCAGGCCATATACAGAGAACTTGGACACCCTCCTTTCCTTCCCACGGGCATAGTGCTGCAAGGTTCAATTATTACATAAGTTTTAGTCAGATAACAGCCACCCTTATATTTACACAGTTGCACTTTTCACATAGCTGGCCTGTTGGTGTGGTGAAGATAAAATACTTTCTAACTGTTTTTGAACAAAATCAATACATTTAGCCAACTTTTTTTTTTTTGGTACTTACACCAGGATTAGCGCAGCCTCTCTAGAATAGTCGAGTAAAATCTCATTCAGTCGGATCTGACGTAGAGTCTGAATAAGACACAATAATAATTTGAGCTGGGAACAAAATGTAGTTAAATTGAATGCTTGTGTTGGATCTTTCACCTTGGCTTTGTTCCTCTCCCAGTCTTGCTCAGTGATCATCCAGGGCCCATCGCAGACTTTCGTTGGTGTACAGCCCAAGTCTTGTTTGGGGCTCTGGTCCTTTCGATATGGAGCCACCATATTCTCAAATAGTTGTACACTAAAATTAAGAGATCAGTGACACTTTTTAGCACTTTTGTTTTATCGAAGGTGAGTGCCTTATCCAGTGTTTCCCAACCAGGGGTATGAGGACCTGGGGGGTACGCAAGCATTTAACCAGGGTACACTTAGGATTTTGTACACCTTTGAGAAGGATTTGGAGCATTTTGGACATCATTATTATTAAAACCTATAAAATATAATAGAAAATATAATAGTAATAATTGACAAATATTACAACAGTAAACTGATTTATTTGTAGTACCAGAGTTAGGGACTCAAGGTGGTGACTATGACACATAAACGTGACAGAGAAGCGCAGCACATTACTAAACGTGAATTTCCCTCTGGATCAATAAAGTACCTCTCTCTCACTAATAGAAATTGATTAGTAGAAGTGCCCAGAGTGATCTCTTTTTTTCAACACACGCAGGTATTGTGCTGCATTACTACTGATGAATCATGGGGGCGCTATTTGACCATTGGGAATTCTGCCACATCATCAGGGTATTCCCCAAGCTCCAGACAGGATGGGACATGGTGACAGGGGCGGAGATTAGAGTTGTGGTTCATGGGAATGTGGCTCGTTGGTCTAGGGGTATGATTCTCGCTTAGGGTGCGAGAGGTCCCGGGTTCAAATCCCGGACGAGCCCTTTCTACCTTGCACAAATAAAATAATTGATTGTTTAAATTTCACAGTTCAATTAAAAAACTACTTGTTTGATCCTTGTTACATACTGCTATAAAGCTTCTTACCCTCTTTACTGGCCACCAGTCACCCACACAGCCAAAGTGCCTTGCCCAAGGACAAGCTGAGAGCAAATGTTGACATACTCACTTTGAGGCACGGCTCATGCTTAAACAACTGAGTCATTGGTAGGTTTAACAGGTGGCTCGTTGGTCTAGGGGTATGATTCTCGCTTTGGGTGCGAGAGGTCCCGGGTTCAAATCCCGGACGAGCCCTTAATTTATAAATTGTCTTGCCAAATACGGAAGTTCAGAATCTGTAATTGGTTTCACCTTATAATAGGTCTGTAAAAGCAAATCACGTACAATATACAGTAGCACAAACATGAAACAATGGTGTTCAACAGGTAGGTAGGACATGCTGAAATTGGGCTTTCTAACTAATCAGAGTAACTGGTTAATTGTGGTTATTATACAGTTACAGACATAATCAACAGTTTTTTCTTTTTTCAAACTTTAATGGGAAATTTTTGTGCATTGATGTTTTATGAGTTCAAACAGTGTTATCAGTGGACAGAAGCATTCTCTTTGTAAAATACAAAGCTTAAAATAGCTTAGAATATAGATCTTTCCTTCCATCTGTATGTTCAATTTCAATTTGTATTTAAATGTGCATATATTTTTTTGCATAACTAAGTAGCCTTAAACAGAGTACAATAATTAATTTCATGTGAAAGACTCAAATTGATCTGTAACCAGAGCCAGCCCCACTAGAATCTGTGTCATTTTGGAGTTAGATATGAAGTTTTAATGGTTTTGTATTTACCATGGACTATATACAAACATACATTTCTCACCCACACAGACCTTCACAGCTATGTGAAGGTCTGTGTGGGTCCCTCTGAGAAATGTTAAAACATATTTAACTTGTTTTTGTTTGTATTACTTTAACTCTAATTCATGCAATGCTTGGTTTCTCCTGAGTCATAGGGGGGCGCTGTTTGACCAGTACAAATCCTGCCACATCACAACATCTGGATGAGACAGGGGTGGAGATTTCAGGTCTGTGTTTTTGTTTGAAAATTGTGGCTCGTTGGTCTAGGGGTATGATTCTCGCTTAGGGTGCGAGAGGTCCCGGGTTCAAATCCCGGACGAGCCCTTTTTCCACATCAAAAAGGCCCAATTTACATTACAATATTGTTTAATTAACTCGGACAGAAAAATTTACCCAAATTTTGCTCATAGGTCCTGTAAGTATGTACAATGTGAACCAAAGACATGGACAAAAATACTCTTTTCATATGCATTTTGTTGAATTGCAACTTTCATATCATAGAAAAAACTGAAGCTTTGTGTTCCAGAGTAAGTCGCAACAGAAGATGGTTTAGACATGCCCAAGATAAAGATGTAGTGAATGTAATTAATACTCAAAACAAATGCACACCAGAGCACGGCTTCTTAAATCCATGTTTTTGTTTGTAGATCACTGATCAAAGAAAAGACAAATTGCATGTAAGTGTGATGAGAGAAAAAGTATAGAGGTGTGAATGCATACTGGGGGCTGCTGTATTATTTTTTTCTTATTTTGAGAGAGTAAACTTGGTTAAGTAATACAACTGGCATATTCACTGTTTTGAGTGTATTTGCAAGCAGTGGTTTAGCAAAGAACAATTGTCAAGAAAATTGTGATGTAAACCACATAATTAATGTGATGTGTCACTATATCATGGGATCATAACGTGATACTATTGTATTGTGAGTCAGATACTGAAGTTCCCATATTGGTCTATTTTATGATCTCTGTATACCTGGTGCTGTGTTTTGTTTCATTCACACATGTTTGTGTGTTACAAACCCTGTGTATTTAGGTTGAGTTCTGAAAAACACTGAAAATACTCCACCTTGTGCTGCACGTTGTGAACTGCTTCATGACAAGGTGGAACAGAGCATTTTGAGCTTTGGAGATGTAGACTAATAATAAAAGGTTACTCAAACATGTATGAATGAAACAAAACACAACTCCAGGTATTTTTTTTGTAATAAAGGACCTTTAATTTGAGGGGGACCCTGTGCTTCCCAGCTTTGTTTTAGCATGTCATGAGTGAGTTTAGTGAGGGACAGGATTGCTCCTCTGCCTAGGCTGCATCTCTCTCTCTCTCTTCAAAGTCTGGAGCCCTTCTATCACAACTATTTGCATTCATTTAGAAGAGCAAAAAGCATATGATTTCTGCTTTCAAATACAACAGGTTACAATTGTGGCAGGTGTTGAGCACAACTGATGTGATTTGAGACCAAAAACTGAGACATATGAACGTAATAATGAGGTTAGATTGATTACTCATACGCTGAGCATGAAGCTTAAGTGGAAACAGTCACATCAAATACTGGCCTTTACAAAACATAAATGTTGTGATTAGATCTGGGTTATTTTGCATTACTTCAACAAAATATATACTTGGGCCAGCCTATATGTTTATATATTTTATATTTTTTTAAAACATAAATGTTTACTGTTTGTATTGCCACAGTCTTTGTCTGTTTTAAAAATGGACCATGAGCCCGAAATAAAGATGAACTGAACTGAACTATACTGTAGCTGCTGCGTTCTCCTGGACCATCGGGTGGCACTGTTTGACAAGTATAAATGCTGCCACATCAGCAACTCCAGACCCCTTACAGGACAGAGGTGGAGATTTCAAGTCTGTGTTTGAGCTTAAATGATGTGGCTCGTTGGTCTAGGGGTATGATTCTCGCTTAGGGTGCGAGAGGTCCCGGGTTCAAATCCCGGACGAGCCCTCTTTTTATCTTAAAAGTTGACAGAAAGTGCACCATTAAAATATATAGATAACTCAGCAACAATTTCATGTATTTTAACATTCATTTGAGGGTGCAGGGTGCTTTGTTAGAGTCTTACTTGTGAGGTTGGGGATTGTCGTAGACATCAGTGAGGACTTCAACATCATGGAAGCCAAGACGAAATTTCTTGATCAATGCCAAAACCCTGAAAAAGATAGTTTCAATGTATAAAGGTTTAGGGATCTGTCACTTGCTTGTTTCTATGGATATGTCATTTAGCTGCCTGGAATGTTCCAGAGTATCACATTAAAAAGATGTACTTTACGTTCATTCAGTTACAGGTTGTTTCACAGCTCAAAAATAACTAAAAAAAACAGGCTTTCTGACTGTGAGAGTGGTTCCCTCTCCTCAGATCTGACTTATAAGTTGGTCTGGTTTGGTTTCCATGAAGATAGAAAGGGTTAATGTCATACATATCATACTGAAACTTTCCAGACAAAACAATGGCATCTCCACTGAGAAAAGCATTTGATGGGCCCTCCACCAGAAAAGTTACACAATGCAACTTTAAGGATGCTTGTGACGAATTAGTAATTAATGATTTGGTTTAAACAATGTCCCGTATATGATAAAAAGTTCTTACTCTTGTTTCTGTTCTTCTTTCTTGTCTGGACGTCCACTAACAAAGACTCGGACCTTACACCTGGACCAGCGGTTCCTACGGGTCAGCAGGTACGGCAGCAGGAGGATAAGGCCTGTAATAATTCATGAACAGAACAATAAAAGCCTTAATACCAAGTGGTTAATATGGATGTCACAATATCACATTTTTGAGTCATGATTACTGTGTGGAAAAATATTGTGATTTTATGATTATCCACGATTATTGACAAAAAACAAAGAAAAAAACAAAACAAAGAAAAAGCATACTGACATTTTTGTCTGTATTTAGCCATTACTGTACAAAAGTAATATTATCTTATCTAGCATTGTTTTATAAATAATAGTAATAGCTGAATAACTGCCAACTAGTATACCAATTTCCACTTAGTTAGCAGTAATACTTAGTTAGTAATTTTAGTAATACTAAGATTGTATATTCATACTGTAGCAGGTTGAGAGATAATATGAGACTAGATACAAATAACAGAAACAAACCTCCATCATCACACAGCCAGTACACGTCTATAGTCTTCTTTTCTTGTTTTTTCCGGAACACTGTCGTCGTCTGAGGTTCGGGTGAGCTTGTGATAGTGGCTAAAACACATTTATTAGATCATATTTCATTATTTTATCATTAAATTCATATGCAGTGGTGGAATGTAACAAAGTAAAAGTAGTAAAGAACTGTACTTAAGTATACATTTTAGGCATCTGTACTTTACTTGACTGCATTTTAAAGTAGATATTTTTATGTTTACTTCACTACATTTGAGAGCAGGCATTTGTACTTTCTACTCCATTATATTTCTGAACTGGACTGAAAAGTAAAAGTTTTTTTTTATTGCCTCAGACCTGCTGAAAAGGCTGAGGGTTTAACACATTTTTAACACATTTGTATTTTGAGCAAACAAAATTAAACAAATAAAAACAGGTAGAAAAATATTGATTCAGTTGTTTCTACTGAACCAAATTCAACACAGATCTTTAACAAAATCACTACATGTGAAGCATTATAAGACCTCAAAATCTGCACAAAATACTTTTACTTTTTAGTACATTTTTACACAAGTACTTTAATGCTTTTACTTAAGTAGATTTTTTCATATGATGGTACTGGGGTATTTTTTGCTCCTGTATTTGTATTTTTACTAAAGTAACAACACTGAGTACTTCCTCCTCTACTGTCCATATGCAAATAATAATATACATACTAATAGTGCTGGGCTGAAGGTGTGCTCTGGATAATGTGCTGCAGACACTCTCTGGCCCTTCATCAAAGGCAGGATTAACTAAAGAAAAACAACAAATGTATTACTATAGATTTCTGAAAGTAAAGAGAGAGAGAGAGAGAGAAAATGCTACCGTGAGACTGAGGTGGGTGAGAGACGTCCAGTCCTTCCTTCATCCTCAGCATGCACACTCCATACTGCAGTTCAAATGCGTCACTGAAACACAAATATACAAATATACTCATTGTTCATATATGAGAATGACTTTCAATAATATGAGGGACTTTCTTCCTCTACTCACTGCAGAATGCCAATGTATTCATGGAGAGCCTGAGGAGAGTCACTGCACCAGGACTTCTTAAATCCTAACAGCAAAACATTAGGCTTGATGCGGCCCAATCCTGCCCCCTAGAGTGAGGAAAACATTTGCATAGCTCAGTTCAAATTTCACTTTTTTGCCATTTGTAGTTTAAAATCACATTGAGAACATGAACAAAAAGTGAAAATTAAACAATGTACATATCAAGTTACATAACACTATAATTTTTGAGTGTGAAAATGTTTTTAACACGCTGAGAAGATAAAAATGGGTAAAATAAAAGTTAGAGATAGGGGTTTTCTGCTTTTAAATGATGCAGCTGTTTATTTACATACTGAATTTGTGATATATGTTGCAAAGTGTAACACGCATTACTGATTCTCAATGGGGAAATACACATTTGTACATTTTAGTCATAGTAGTTGATCCTTTTTACTTTGACTTCACTACATTTGAGAGCAGGTATGTGTACTTTCTACTACATGTTTAAATAGTACTCAGAAGTAAAGTATTTTTTATTAGTAGTGTAGTAGTTTGAGTAGTTTGTAGTTATGTAGTTAGTTATGTAGTTTGAGACCTGCTGAAAAGGCAAAGGGTTTATTTTTAACACATTCATAATTTCAGAAAACAAAAAATATGACAACAAATAAAACAGAATAAAAAGATTGATTCCATTGTTTCTGATGGGCAAAATTCAACACACATATTTTATCAAAATAACTACATTTAAAAATTTAAACATGAGCAAAATATTTTATGCACATTTTTAAACAGGTAACTTTTACTTAAGTAGAATTTTTCATATGGCACTTTTATATTGTTTAACTCTGATATCTGTACGTTTACTTAACTAAAAAAATTGAGTACTTATTCCTCTATAGCTGATTGCTAAGAACATTGTACATTGTATAGTATTTGTATATACTAATTGTGACTCAGACCTGCATTAGCACGTTGACCCCTGTGCGCAGATCAGAGGACACCACTCCTCTGTAGAAGGACTTGACCTTTCGTTCATTCAGCCATGACACATGTTTCTCACCGTTTTCCTTCTGCACCACAGAGGCACTGGGGCCAGACTGCAAAACACATCACCACAGGAGATTTAAGCCGATACTACTACCGTCCTCTTGATTTTAAAGGTCCTATATCACTCAAATTGAGTCTTGTGAGCTTTAAGACATGTTGTAATGTTGTTATATCATAAAAAGCATACCTGGAGTTGTGTTTTGTTTCATTCACATGTTTGAGTAACCCATTATTATTAGTCTGTCTACATCTCCAAAGTGTTAAGTTAACAACTAGCTTTTACCTTTGTAGCTGCAATACCTTTGTAAATGCTTACCTCGCCCTATTTAAAAGGGCTAATTAGTAGTGTTGCAGAGTGTGGAGGTACTGACTTTTGACCGTGTCTTAAATGGAATGTATGGCAAATAAAGAGCATTTAAAGGAGTATTTGGACTTCTTGATCAGGAATATGTGTCAGAAAAACTATTCACACTTTGCCTAACCACAGTGGCTCAGATAGAGGACCTTGGGCCACAATATTAAGTCAAAAGACACCTCACAGAATAGTTTGTTTGAAGGAAGGACACACAGGAGTTTGGACTGGAACAAAGCAGTGGAGCCTGGCCTTGATCGACTTGTTCAACATACTACAAACGGTGGGTTAAATTCAATAGACAATGGCTACTACAGTACTACAAAAAGTTTAAAATCTTCTCTCACTGCTGCTCGCATACAAGCTGAAGCAAACACTGCTGCACTATTGGTCAGAAAGGCTGCTCTAGAGCAGAAACATGCTTTTGAAGGGCAGTTGGCCATTATAAGAAGAAAGAAAGAACAGCTTCAGCTTGAAATGCAGATACTGGAAGTCAAGGCTAACCTAGTCCTAATGAAGTCCACTAGAGGGGGCCGTAAAACTGTTTCAAACAAAGCAAAAGTAAAATCAAAGGAAGAGAATGTGTTACATGATCAAAATGTTGTTGCCTCATTACCACCTCAGGCTAACATGAAAGCCTGTGCTGATGAAGACACAGGGGCTGGTGTGGACAACTACCTCTTCATACACACAGAGACTATTCCATTGACCTCTGAACACACACATGTACCATGTTATGGACTGGAACAAACTGTTATGAACCTTAAAGATGAAGAAGACACCTCCAAACTGACCTCACAGGGAGGCAAAGGGCCAAACACTGTGGAGGACCCACTGTTATACACTGTAGGGGGTGTATCCTCCATATACACCTCCTACGACTGTGACAGTGTGGTTCACTTTGGATGGTTACCTCGCCCTATTTAAGAGGGCTAATTAGTAGTGTTGCAGAGTGTGGAGGTACTGTCTTTTGACCATATCTTAAATGGAATGTATTGGAAATAAAGAGCATTTAATGGAGTATTTGGACCTCTTGATCAGGAACACGCATCAGGAAAACTATTCACACTATTCACAATAGCTCAGATAGAAGATCTTGGGCCATAACAACCTTCAGTCCAGTAAAGAATTCCAGGACGGAAATTATCCAAATGATTCTAGTGAAGGTGTATGGAGTTTAAAAACACAGTGGAGCACATCTTGTATTACATGACATCACAAGGTAGAGCAGAGCAGTTTGAAAGAAGAACTCAGCCTAAGCATGAAGGGTTTGTGTAAATGAAACAAAACATAACTCCAGGTATGTTTGTGATGAGGAAACAAGATTAAAACAGATATTAAAAATAGTGTAATATGGGCTCTTTAAATCATGACTTACCATAACATCCGCACACATCATTAGACTGAGGCCTTTAGTGAAACAGCTGACAAGGTCAACAAGGGCCGGGCGACTGCTGGGAGGTCCGGTCAACACCAGACACTGAGGCCTGAAAGGACAGCACAATCTTATTATTTTATTACAATATTATTATCATAGTATTGTGATGAAAAGAAACAGAAACAAAATCTCAGTTTTTATCTGTTGGTATAATATATCAATATTTCTAATATACTATGTAAAAAACTGACCTGTAATTTTTCACATGGTCTTCTACCTGGTTGAGGCCCACACACTGGTTGAGAGCCAAATTGTAAGAACTGGCCTGTACCGAAGAGCCCCAGTTCACAGCTACATAGAAAAGAATGTTATGTTCATAATTTAATTTAAGATTAAACATTAAATTATGAATCTCTGTCTTATTTAAGAGCCCACATTATGTTATTTTTATCTACTGTATGTTATAATGTTGTTTCCTCATCACAAACAAACCCGTTGTGTCTCGTTTCAGTCACATACTTAACACACAAATCCTGCATATTTAGGTTTAGTTGTTCTCTCAAACAGAGAACACTCTGTTCCACTTTGTGATATCATGTGGTAATACAGGAAGTGCTCCACTGTGTTTTTAAACTCCGTCCAACTTCACTAGAATCATTTGGATCATTTGTGCCCTAAAATTGCCAATCTCTACTGAACTAAAGGTAAAATGTCACTGTTAACCTGAATTTTGAGTTTTGGGGATTTAGTCAGACTAATAAACCAGGATTATTCAAACATGTGTGAATGGAACAAGACAAAACTCCAGGTATGTTTTTGATGAGGTAAGACCATTATAACATGGCTTAAGTGTTCACAAGAATCAATTTTGTGTAATATGGGACCTTTAAGAAAGACAAGGAGGTAGACGAGAAGACAAAATGCCCAGACATACCAGGTTTCTTGTAGAGCGTGTATCCCAGAAGAACAAAGACTACTCCAAAGGCGATGAGAGCTGCCCACCAGGTGAGCAAGAACATAATGGCCACACAACAAACTGCCCCGAGCAAAGACAGCCACTTACTATAGAACCTGAACGAAGGGCGCCATCCTGCCACACACAAGCCCATCAGTGTTCATATCACAAACTGTATATAACTCATTATATTACCTTCAGTGGATGTAATAAATAAATTCTACCTGGTGAGTTGGTGATTGAAGCATGGAAACAGCTGAAGTTGATGAGTGTGTAGGAGCAAAGAAAAAAGTTGGAGATGATGGGGGCAATGGTGTTCAACTCAGCTATAGGACAGAATGTATTTGTCTGGTTAGCAAAACATTAAAACATTAGTTTACTTGCACTAGTTACTAATTATTATATTATATTATAATGCAACAATGTGTAATATATTTTTACTGCACTGTTTTTGATGATCATTTAAGTATTCTTTTAAACTTTTATGTAACCAGTGTATGAAAATAACACAGTAAAAATAGTAAAGCACTGTACTTAAGTATCAAGTATCTGCACTTTATTTAAGTATATTTTGGTTACTTTTACTTCAGTGCATTTGATAGCAGGTATCTACTTTATACTCCACTACATTTTTGAACACTAAAGTAAAAGTATATTGTTTTTTTTAAGTATTTTTTATTATTGTGTGAGACCTGCTGAAAAGCCAGAGGGGTTTATTTTTAACACATTCATAATTTAAGAAAACAAAAAATAAAAAATAAAAACAGCTAGAAATAAACAACTGATTCAGTTTTTTCTGTTGAAGAAAATTCAGTACAAGTCTTTATCAAAATCAGTAACTCAGAAGCCTTATACCTTAAAATAGTCACAAATTTTTTTTAATATATTTTTTTAAGTTTTTAAATTTAAATGGGTACTGTAATACTTTTACTTAAGTAGATGTTTTCATGTGATACTTTTACTTTAGTATTTATTATTTGAATATTTTTTTGCTCCAGAATCTGTATTTTTACTGAAGTCACAGAATTGAGTACTTCTTCTACCACTGAATATACCATAGAAATGCAATTCTCTGTTGTCTTACCAATAAGAATGAAGCAGGAAGCGATGATGTATGTCAGCAGATAACCCCGGAGTGGTTCATCATTTTTGCCGTAACCCTTGCCGAAAAAGCCAATGAAAGGATAGAGCTTGTCCTTACATAAACACTGAAGGAAAATAATATTGATTAAACCAGACTATTCTATATATAGGAAATCTTCTGCTGTGTGACTGACCTGGAAAACTTTGGGAGCAGACACTAGACAGGCCAAAGCAGAGGACAATGTGGCTCCAAAAATACCAGCAGTAATGAGAGGTGCAAAGGCTGAGACCAGGCTCATTGTCTGGAACCAATAACATGGATCTATGTTATACTATATCGCAAACCTCATAGTATAAATGTATAAGTAATTTTAAAGGCCAAATTGAGTTTTCTGTCTATTTCTACTCTCCAGACCTGGCTGCATCTATAGGTGTCATTAGTTCTGTCCTCAGCCAATCATAAATCATTTTAGAGGCAAAAAACACACACACACACACAAACTGCCCCGGGCATCTTATTGACTTGGGCAATTTATTTTAGGAGGTTCACGGAAAACCTTGAAAAATGACTTATGCCATGAATAGGAATGCACAGATACTGATACTGATACTGGTATTGAATGTCGGTGCTGATACTGAAAAATTAGCTGGATCGAATTTCGGCTGCCAAATATTGGTTCAGTCAATTTGCAGGTTGGACGTATGAACTGATGTAATAAAACATTAACTGGTCATAGTTGGCTCAGAAAGTCTCTGAATGTTTGAACGTGTAGTTGAAGTTGTTCTGTAGTTAGCTGGAAGATAAATAACAGCTATGTACCATATTTGGATCAGTTTTGTCTTATTTTATTTTAGTTGTAAAGGAAATAAATCATGTTTTTAGTTTCTGCTCTGGTATTGGAAATAAAAAAGCTGGACTGGTGCATCCCAGGCTATGAGGCTAATGATATATATGTTTGATAAAAAAAAATAAAACCTGCAAGCTTAAAGGTGCACTATGTAACTTTTTGGTTGGGGCTAAGACGACTGATTATTTCTGTGAAGATGTCATTACTCTGCCTGAAATGTTCCACAGTATGACATTAAACAGCTCTACTTTACATTTATTCAATTACAGTTGATTTTATGGCTCAAAAATATCTAGAAAAACAGGTATTCTGACTGTGAATGGATTGCTTCTCCACCGATCTGACCTGTAGCTTGGTCTGGTTTGGTCTTCATAAAGATAGAAAGATTTAATACCATACTGTGAAACATTCCAGACAAAGCAATAACATCTCCACGAAGAAAAGCATTTGCCAAACCCTCCACCAGAAAAGTTACACAATGCACCTTTAACAACACTACATTTATATAAACCAACACTATTCCTTCAATGCATTTGTGGTGTGTGTTTTCACCTGGTAGTAGTTAATAAGGCCAAATGTGCACGTGCCATTCTGCGTGCACTCAGAGAAGTCCCAGCCGTACTGACAGGCTGTGCCCACACAAGACTCCGGGTTTGAGGAGTTTACCAACGTGTCATTCAATACACCTGAAGCATCGCGCACTACACAAGCACCTAAGACAAGACAATTAAGTTAGTCTATTTTCTTGCCAATTTTAATACGTTACAGAAGTCATATATTCAAAATGTAAAGGTCCCATATTATGCAATTTTCTGATCTATGCTATTATGTCCCTCATCACAAACATACCAGGAGTTGTGTTTTGTTTCACTCACATGTTTAACACCGACCCTCCTTTTCTTAAACAGAAAACACTCTCTTCCACCTTGTCATATCATGTGATAATACAGGTGTTTTTAAACTACACATGTCTTCACTATAATCATTTTAATCATCAAGTTCAGCTCTGGAGTTGACAACCTCTGCTGAACAATATGTAAAAATAGCTGTTGACTTGAAAACTACTGCTTCATGACATCACAAGGTGGAGCAGAACATGTTCAGGCTTGGATATGTAGACAAACTAATAAAGCAGGATTACCCAAACGTGTGAATGAAAAAAACCCCCACAAATACAGGTATGTTTTTGATGACGTAACAACATTCTAACATGGCAGTAGGCTTGGATGTACTTTCTTTTCAGTAAGTAATACTTACCAATGGTGGCAGATATGATGAGGTATGAAAAGGTGGTAAAGAAAATAGCCAAAAGTGTCCCCTTAGGGATGGCCACTGTTGGATTCTAGCAGGACATATTTCTTATTAATTTCAGGAGGAAAAACATTGTCAGCAGATACAGAAACGCTGTCAAACCTTGAGATCTCCCGAAATGTTCGCTCCTGCCAAAATGCCAGTGGCTGAAGGGAAGAAAATCGAGAACATGCCAAAGAAATTACCCTCTTTTCCTCGCCAGCCAGGCACAAAGTTTTGAGCAAAGATGTCAGCTGTTACAAACAAGAAAGATCATTTTATTCATCTGAAAAATATGATGGAGTTTGTTTGTTGGATTAGCTCTACCTCTGTAGCTGAAGAAACCCTTGGATTGCTTCTCCACACTTGCGGGCATGATAGTGCCAACAATGTAACTGGCAAAGGAAACCATGATAACGAAAAAGAACACAACCTGGGCCTGGAAACAAAGGTGTATTGTTATTCTGAAATAGAATCAGATTGACTTTATTACAAAACGATCTATCTAAACTGCTTATACAGTCAGTGCACTGGGATCGCAATTATGTCTGTTGAAAAGCTCTCATAGTTAATGACTAACTATAAAGATTAAGTGCATACAATCCAGGCAGAACAATGACAAATCCACAGAAACACACAGATGATGGACGCCCAACCAAAAAGTTACATAGTACAGCTTGAAACAGGAAAGTGGATGCCTACCTTTGATTCCCACGACATACCAGCCAAAGAGATGCCCAAAAGGCAGGTGACAGTGATTATGCCAATGATCCGAATGTCATTTGTTTTATCCACCATGACAGCTCCATGCTCCTACAGAAACATGTCATCTCATCATCATCTCAATATTTATTGTGGGTACATTTTTGTTATTTTAGTTGTAGGATTTAAGCAGTGGCTAATTATTCATTCATTATTTATTTGTTGCAGCCCATGCTTTTTAAATTTAAAATGGTTTACTGGGATTATCCTGCTTTATTTTAATCTTAATCAGTGGCACAAAATTATTTCAAAATATTTGTCTGTAGCAATATATTCTGCTTCAAAATTTGGCTTTATTATATTATATTTTATTCTACAACTATAATGTATAGTTGTAGAATAACATTAAACAACATGCCATTGACACAATAACCCTGGAGAATAATTATCCCCAAAAATTCCAAATGTATAATATGGTTAAAACCACAAACTGTAATAAATAAATAGAATAATGAAACACTAGTTAATTGGTATCTATAATGAGACATCCAAGTTATTTATTCATCCTTCTTCAGCTCAAATCTAACTGTAGAACAAAAAAAATAACAAAACGTTCTCAGCTAGTACCAACTAACTAAATATAAATATTGATCACAAAAATAATGGTTCCAATTATCATGTATTATACTATAAGTCGATATAGTAATTATCCTGATGAGCCTATAGCTATGCAAACTTTGCTTACCCTCATGAGGTCAGTGACAGTCTCAGCAAACCCCACAGTGTGCATGGCAACAGCTACTGCATTGGCAAAGGCAAAGATGAGACCAATGGACCCTCCCAGCTCTGGACCCAAACTGCGACTAATCAGGAAATATGTCCCGCCTGTGAACAGTAGTGGCTTTTAGAATGATAAAAAACATAAGACAGCTGCCAGAGCGATGATTTACCATAAAAAACTAAATAAATAGGTGATGATTTAGTCATTAAAGGGCCTATGTTTTGTTGTTTTCTGATCAATGTTATAATGTTGTTTCCTCATCAAAAAAAAAAACGAGTTATGTTTTGTTTTATTCACACATGTTTGAGCAACCCAGGTATGCTTTTGATGAAGTAACAACATTTTAATACGGCTTCAAGCTCGCGATTTTGTGTAATATATATCCTTTAACGAATATATCTCTTTATAAATTGCACAAGGGTCATGCAAACCTCCTTTTACTTTTCCATTGGTTGCGATGGCTGAAGTGGAGAGGCCCGTGATTCCTGTGATTGTAGAGGACAGCAGAATGATCACCCAGGTTAGCCCTAGTGAGCGATACACAAAGAGACATAGAGATTATTTCACATCATAGCCATCTACTGGACACAAGTTACCAATAATCATTCATTATCTTCTGGACATACCGATACCAGCTTGAGCAGTAATCCAAGGAAGACGGAGGTATAGGATCACACCCCAGATGTTTAACATGCATCGAATCTGCAATCAGAAAATATAGTTTTATATTATACTGTAAAAAAGGTTCCATATTACACAAAATGTATTCTAGTGAGCTATAAGACATGTTGTAATGTTGTTACCTCATCAAAAACATACCCAGAGTTGTGTTTTGTTTCATCCACAGACAAGTGTAATAGAATGTAATGTAAGAATGATAGCACTAAAGCAACAATCAGAGCTAGTATTGTAATTAGACATTTAATTTGTGAGAAATCAATTGGAACACTTTTGCATTTAGCTGAAGCTGATATTAACCAATTACTATAAATGTAAAACATAAGTTACGGTGGTAGGATTTTTGCATGTGTAAAATTGACACTCACCAAGACCCCCTGAACCCATCCAAAGCGAGTGGGCTCAGCAGGTGGCTCCTTCTGCTCATCTTCGTCATCTTCATCAGTGGTTTCCCCAGAGTGTCCCACAGGACTCTCCTCGTACACCGGTGGTTTGAAGTCCTCCTACAACACAGCGCATGTAAAACAATTAAACTATTCTATAATGCTGCAATCATAACACCAGTATAGACTTTGCTGAACTCTTAATTAGTCTTTTAAATAACAACACATAATGTAAGAGTGTGTTTACAATTGTCCTGGTTTGAGATCACTTCTGTAGATTTGTTTTGGCCCAGGTCTAGTTCTGGTTCAGTTCTGGTCTGGTTCAGGTTTTGTTCCGTGTTTAGTCCCAATTTTGATGTGATAATTGTGTAAGTGTGACCGCATCCCAGACTATTTTTACATAATATCATAATATCTAGGCTAATTTACAGATAGAAACAATATACAACTAAAATTGCATTATGTTCCTTTGCTTGTGTCCATGGAGATGATACTGCTTTGCCTGAAATATTCCACAGTATGGCATTAAACTTAACTATCGGGCATTTGTTCAACTACAGGTATTGCTATTGGCCAAAAACATGCAGTTATCAGAGAGTGGGGTCACCTCTCTCCAGATCTGACTTGTAACTTGGCCTGTTGGTGTCACCTGCTTGTCTTCATGGAGATATATCGGTTTAATGCCTGTGGAACATTTAGAGATAGGAGACACTCCACCAGAAAAGTTACATCGTACACCTTTAATATGTCTTACTTTGAGAGACTACTGTAAATAATGTTTCTTTTTTTTCTTCTCTAACTGAACCAAAATCCATCTATGAACTAGAACAAAATCGACTGCTCCTGAGCTAGTCACGTGTTGTAAGAGACATTTTTTTTTTTTTAGCTTAACAGTCCTCTCTGGTTTAGGGGTCTTCCTCACCTGGGGGTTTGCATAGAGCTGGTACAGTGAGGGCCTGGACTTTCTGCGTCGGCCCCAGACCTCAGTGTTGGCGTAAAAGTCGTAGTGTGGGGGCGCGTCCAGGGTCTCGTATCCGGTTATCGAGCTGTCGGCGCGGCTGGACGCCACGCTGCATCGGTCACCAAAATACCCATAGTACTCCGACTCCCCCGACGAAGAGGCCGCCTTCCCATTAGACACCACCGAGGGTCTGAATGCATTGAGACGGACACCTTCATTCACCACTGGTAACTCCATTTACAAGTGGAAAATCAAAATAGTGATAATTTTGCGCGCGTGGTGTCAGCGCTAAATGTGTGTTGTGATTCATGACGGGCAAGGCAAGCAGCTTTATATTTGACCTCAAAAAGCAGGAACAGCCTAAAGGGATGTAATAGGCTGCTTCAGTGAACACCCAGTGGTCAATTACAGGAACTATTAATCTCTACATCTCCAGGTCATTGCGGGGAGCATGGGGTCGGTTTCTACTGCGGCCAGAGGAGCTATTACTCCAGTGTTAATTATAGGTCAGGACATGTATCAAAGAGAACTCTGGTAACTACAAAACTTTAATGGGTTCTTTTTTTAGAATTTGTTTCTTGGACAAAGACACTAAACATGAGGTGTGCATGGTTAATAAAGATTATATTTGTCAATGAATAATCTGCTCTGAGGGCGCAGTTGGCCAATGATGGAACATGTTGTAAACAGCATTATTAGACAAAAATTCGGCTGGAACATGACCTTGGCAACACAAAGTACTTGTATCAGAAGGTCAGTATAATGAGGGAGGGGAAAAATATAGCCTAAACAGTGGAGGAAATAAGTGTTTGATCTCTTACTGATATTGTAAATTTGTATACTGACAAAGAAATGAACAGTCTATCATTTTAATGGTATAGGTTTATTTTAACATTGAGAGATAGAATGTCAAAAACAAAATGCAGAAAATAACTTTAAAGTGATTTGCATTTCATTGAGTGAAATAAGTATTTGAACCCTCTAGCCAAAAAGATTTGGTACGTTGACCAAATTTGCACACATATCAGAAGAAATTTTGGCCCACTCTTCTTTAAAGATTATTTCTAAATCATTAAGGTTTTGTGGGTTTTGCTTGTCAACTCAGCTTCAGCTCCTTCCATAGATTTTCTTTCTGGATAAGGTCTAGAGACTGGCTGGGCCACTCCATGACCTAAATGTGCTTCTTCTTGAACTACTCCTTCGTTGCCTAAGCTGTATGTTTTGGGTCACTGTTGTGTTGGAAGACCCATCCACAACCCATTTCCAGTTTCCTGGCAGAGGGAAGGAAGTTGTCACTCAGGATTTTAACAGTACAGGGCTCCTTTCATCCTCCTGTTGACGTGATAAAGTTGTCCTGTGCACTGTAAATAATTACCAGGATTTCACAATATTCAACTGTAAAATATAGTAAATTGCCGTATTGTCACTTTACAGTATTTAACTTTAATGGTCACAGTATGAGACTGTAATTTCGAAGTTTACGATAAAAACAGTGCCATCACAGTAAATATTTTTATTGTTTTAATTATTACCAGGATTTCACAGTATTTTATTGTATTATTTCACCGCAAAATACTGTATTAACGGCTGTTTCCATTACAGCGAAATTCGCTTCGCTCTCATTGACTGAAATTTCACCTGATAGGGCGAAGGCAGGGGCGAATTCACTATTACTATTTGTAGATCACCATCTGTGTATTTGTGAATATTAATGAGACCAAATTAATTCCATAGTATCAAAAAAAAAAAAAAGTCTGACCATCAGGGCGGTCATAAATGGAGTCAGTAGCGTGCATTATTTTCATTAATAAAAAAGGAGAAAATACGATCACTAGTAGTTTGCCGTATTTCTTTACTTCGCAATGCATTCTGGGTAGCGTAGTCAATTGGGGGCTTGGATTCGCCGTCTCAGCAAGATGAACATGGGATCTGTTGAGCCATTTCAGTTTGAACATGAGTGCACATCAAGTTTGGAGGACAACTCGGCGGACAATACTGTAAATGATGAGCATGAAGACGATCAAAGAGATGAGTAAACGAGAGCTGGTCACAATTAATGGAGTCTTTGCAACAAGTGCTTGCCAATGTTAACAGAGAGAGTCTGTTGTAAGGAGCTCAGTTTTCTGTCAGGGGCTGTTCAGGGTGAGTAAATTTACTAATTTAATTCGTATGGAGTAAGAAATATGGAGTAAGAAAGCTTTCAAAAACAGCAGTGTGCATAGGATAGCCATCCGTGCATGTTTTGCTCTAGTTGAGCTTATAAATAATAGGACTAAAGCAGAACTAAGCCAGGACTGAACTGGGACGAAACCAGGTCTATTACCATGTCAAAACCAGGACTGAACCAGGAGAGCCCGCTTGCTGCTGCGTGTTGTAGCTAGTTCATTCGCACGGAATCTCCACGCACCCCTCTCTGCACCGCTCCCCTCTCCTCTCCTCGCTCCCTATTCCGCTCTTCTCCCTGCTCCTCACTTCTTCTCCGCGCACGAAATGTCCGCGCCGCTCCTCGCTCCGCTCTTCCCCCTGCTCCTCACTTCTTCTCCGCGCACGGAATGTCCGCGCACCCCCTCCCCCCACTCCTTACTCCTCCACCTTGCCTAACCAACACTGTAGTTAGTTGTTTACAAGTCATTTGCAGCGATGAGGACTTGGGGGTGGGGGGGGTTTCACGCATGCGCAACATTTGAAAAACGACAAAGTCGCTGGATTTCTCATTCCTTGGAAAATCCTCTATACAACCTTTAAGGTTAAGAGGCAGTAGTGTGGCGTGTCGGCAAACTTAAATCAATTAAAGTTAAAATAAAGTTAATAAACTTATGTTGAAAGATCATTCTACCTCCAAAGTATGGGTCAGCCAGCGAGGTATGTTTTTTGTAATTGTTCATGTCTTTATTTTGTTAATTTTTTTAGTTCGACGGTGGCGTTGGTGATATTGGTGGCATCAAAGGTGTCCTGTAAGTCTCAAGATTGTACAAGCCACAATAAAGATTAGGCAAGCCATCAGTAAACAGAACTCTTTATTGACTACACGAGGAGGTGGTGTGATACAATCACTCTAAATCATTCAGGTGTTCATTGGCAAACTTCAGGCGAGCCACACTGCAGGATTTTAATCCATTGCACCGTAAAGTGTTACCAATGGTTTTCTTAATGACTGTGGTCCCAGCTGCCTTGAGATCATTGACTGGCTGCTGTCGTGTAGTTCTAGGGTCATTTCTCATTGTTCTCATGATCACTGAAACCCCACGAGGTGAGATCTTGTGTGGAGTGGAGAGGTCGATTGATGGTCATTTTGTATTTCTTACATTTTTGAACAATTGCACCAACAGTTGTCTCCTTAACACCCAGCTTCTTGCTTATGGTTTTGGTAGCCCATTCCAGCCCATGTCCCTGACAACCTTTGACAGCGCTTTGGCCTTTTCCATGTTGGAGTGTTTGGAGTCTGATTGATTGACCGATTCTGTGGACAAGGGTCTTTTATACATGTAATTAATTAAAAGAGGCATCTTTAATTCAGGTGATGAGTTGATTAGGAGTGTCTAACTGGTCTGTGGGAGCCAGAACTCTTAATGGTCAGTAAATGATGAAATACTTATTTCATACAATGAAATGCAAATCAATTAATATATTTTCTATAATGTGATTTTCTGGATTTTCTTTTTGATATTCTATCTCTCAATGTTAAAATAAACCTACCATTAAAATTATAGACTGTACATTTCTTTGCCAGTGGACAAACCTACAAAATCAGCAAGGGATCAAATACTTCCTCCACTGTAGCTAAACACCAGTGATGTAGCATAAAAAATAGGTATCTGTACTTCTCTGATGTCCACTTTAAAAATGTACATTTTTTCCTTTTACTTCAGAACATTTGAGAGCAGGTATCAGAACTTTCCTCTCCACTACATTTTTAACTGAACTAAAAATATTTTTTGTGTGAGACTTGCCACAAAAGCCTGGTTTATTTTTGAGCAAACTGCTAGATAAAAAGGTTGATTCATTTTTTTCTGTTGAACAAATTAAGAATAATTCTTTATCAAAATCTCTACATTTGAAGCTTTATAAGCTCTCAAAATATAGGACACATTATTATTCTAACTGCAGTTATTGATTTTACCCACCACAAGTTCTGTTGATAAATCTTCCAATAGTAATATTCATCAATATTTCTTTTACAATTATCATCAATACTTTCATGATTTGTTAATGTGTTATTCTTTTTTATTGTGCATTGTAGTCTTTGCAAAACCCCTAAAATATAACAGAACTTGGTTTTAAGTCTGAACCAATAGAGCCGAAAATCCTGTGCAGGGAGCAGGACTAATCCGGCCTGTGCCTGAGATATAAAAGAAACAAGGCTCTGGTCTACTGACATAGGCCCTAGAATTCGGGGTTACAATTCTGAAATCCAAAACATTTCTCCACACACAAACAAAAAACTAAAATTATTAGTCTATAGTCAGTCCCTCAGTGAAATAAATTTACAGCTGAAATAAGTCAAAGGAACAAATCAGATTTCAAAGCCCAAAACAAAAAAACAACTGAACAAGTCCACTGATATTAACTGAATATCAATTTCATCACTGAAACTCAAAACAGAAATGAGCACTTTTACTGTTCTTGTCACAGGTGGGACATGGTCTTAGACAAAGGGGTTTTCATCTCCTCATATCACAAGCAAGGACTACACCACAGCAATTATACGATAAACATATTATTGATAAGGATAGATGTGATGGCCGGGTACAGACTCAGGATGGGGGCTCTGTCTCAGGCGGTCAGTCCAGCCGATTTAGGACCTCCCCGCTGTCTGGAGAGGCATGGGAGGGAGGGGTCGAGAGAGGTGAGACAGAAACATTTGTTATCAGGATAAGCTTGTATAAAAAGGGCTTCTGGGTAATTTGTGGTTGAGGTGAGCTGTGGTTCATTGAAGAGGAGCAGGAAGAGGTTGAGGTGTTCCTGAATCTCAGTAAATCAGATTTTATTTATTTATTTTAGGAGTGTGTCTTTGCTTGTTCATTGTGAGGCATTATGTCTTTACATGTGTGTGCTACACCTTCATTGTTCACATCAGTTCAAAATCAGTTCAAATACTGTGTAAAACAAATCATTACTTATGCAAATTACTAATGGAAAACACTTAATGGAGCAACATTTCTGTTTGCAAAGTAGTGTTACTGTAATGTGTAACTGCAGTCAGTCACAAATTCCCACATGACTGGGCAGATTCCAAGGTCATCAGCAATCTTTATTTAGATCAGCTTTAGGCAAACACCAAAACTATTATTATTAAAGGAATATTAAGATTATTATTGCATTTTGACATGGTCCTGTAATAGTACAACTATTGTAGACAATAGGGATGCTACAACAGTTATCCCATGAATCAATGTGTATTTCGATGCAAGGGTCATGATATCGAGTTGATCTCAAATTACAGTATAACTACTATAAAGTAGTATATGTGAAGTGTTTTAGTTCCTTTAAGTTTTTTATAATATTCTCTTAAACTGCTAGGGAAAATCCACCATCATAGTTTTGCTTTTTTAGTGATCACTAGGTTCACATGCCTGTGTCCGTGCTGCTCCCTCATTCAGCAGCAGTGAGACAAAAGCTCTTCTCCACACACCCCTGTTCTGTACAGACAGAGCACTCTCCCATCTTCTTTTTGAACACTGAAACTGTTATATTACAAAGAAATGTCTCAAAGGACCATTTATCCGAAAGATAAAACCTATCTGTTAGAATATTTTCAGCTGTTAAGTCTCTATGGAGCTACAGCTCTATGGTACTTCCAGTATCTGGGGAGGACAGCCTGTTAACCATTTCCCTTAAATAAATCCTTAGAAGTTAAGAAGCACTTTTAATTTATAGGTTTGAGGGTTCAGGCCGGGGGAGTTATTAAAAAGATGGGCATTTTCATACAAGTAATGCAAAATAACTGAATAAAGTGTATCTAAAGTGTATTAGATAGCACATCTCAGAAGCTCTCATGTGAGATGATATTGATAGATTGAATTTCTCCTTTGCCATTATGTACTTTGTCTACTGGAGAAAAGTTTGGTCTAAACAAACTTTTGTCCAGTTGACAAACTGAGTTTCTCCTTTGCCATGGATTCTACCTGGATGACTAAGGGATTTTTCACATATTGTTCATAATATTAAGTTGGCTGTACTACATAAAATCCAGCAATAAGTATGTATGCATGTACCAGACTTACTCCTGGTGTAAAATTTAAACCTCAGGTAGCCAGCAGCATGGCTCTATTGAGTAATCAGGAAACAGAATTACAAATTGTTCACTTTATTGAACTGAAAAACTCTGCCTGAACTTCCTTCTGGAACCTGCAACATAAAACTACACATTAATATATATTAGTGACAAAAGTCCCCATTACACAGTACTCGTAAAGTACTCACAGTATGTTGAGCTCCCGGTGCTGCAGCCACATCAGTAGGAATGCCCACTGTGTTGTACATACTCAAAGTGGTTTTGACCTTGCTGATCAGGTTGCTGGTCATATCCAACATTTGTCCCATGTTGTACCATATAATTAGTTTGTCCAGGCTTCACTACAGACTGCTGTGAATTAGGCTCCTTGTGCACATAGGAGGTGTAGGACTGAGGATTGAAAAAGTGGACACTAGGTTGATCAGTCTTTACATTTTTAGAGTCTTGCCACCATCTGAAAGGAGTTTTTTGGTATGCCCCTGAGTGCTGTACATTTGTTCCCTGTGTAGGATTTGGTGTGTAGCCTTCCATATTTAGAAACATATTTGTATAGTGTGGTTTTGTCTGCACTGGGCCACTAGGGGGAGTGTGGCCATGGTGGTGAACTTGACCTTGGTAGTAATTTTGTAAAAGGGCTGCAAAATTTTCAAACCCGGGGCACTTCTCTAATGGAATCATGAGTTGACCATTAACATATTTAGCGTACTGTAAAACACTTTTCCTAACGTCTGCACTGTCAGAACTGGTAATTGGGAACCACGTATGAGAGTAATGCACATTTTGGGCCGGATACTGGGCTGGATGCTGGACACCACTTCCTGGATCAGCTGAACTTAAGTGCCGTTGACCCCTCCAGTAGTTTGTCGGGGTTTGGTGATGACCAAAGTCTAAGTGGTGAGAGCCACTTAGACTTTGTGTTGAAGGATGATTATGTCCCACTGGCTTGAAAAACACTGGGTTTTGTTGTGTCCGAGTACTCGTTTGGGCATTTTGGTTGCTTTGTCCCTTGTGGTCAAGTAGCCCAGAAAAAAAGGATACCAACTTGCTCTCTGGTGGTCTCTGAGAAACCACCTTGGTACCTGATGGCTTTTGGTACACTGGCTTATTTACGTCTGGCATGTAATAAGGATAATTATAAAATCTTGTGTGTGAGGTACCAGTGTTGGAAAGTCCAGCATTGAACACACTAGCAGGAGCTTTAGGAGCTGCAGTTGTTGTAGGTAGAGGGATAGACAAGCTAAAATGAAAGCCGTGCTTAGAAGAGTCTTGGTGCTTTTTACTGGGGTAGAATGAACCATGCTTTGAAGAATCCTCGAACGGACTTTCAATTTTACTCTCCATGTGAAAGTGACCAGATCCCTGTGACTGAGAATAGTCCTGTCCCGTGCTCCCATCCTCAGGGTTAGACATAGGAGCTTGAAAATTGATATGAAATGACCTGGGTTTGGCCCCTTGGTCCTGTGTCTCAGGGTTTTCAGGAGGGACTTTTTCAGTAGGGACAGTTTCAGGAGGGACATTTTTAGGAGGGACATTTTCAGGAAGGACATTTTCAGGAGGGACATTTTCAGGAGGGACATTTTCAGGAAGGACATTTTCAGGAGGGACATTTCCTTCCATATTTTTGACAGTGTTTGGGTTCTGGAATATGATGGGATTTAATGATTTTGGGCTAGGAGCCCTCCACCCTTCAGAAGGTGGCCAGTTGGGCACCGCTGGTTGCCCCCAACTCTGTGCAGGCGGAGGAGGCCCCCAATACAGGGGCGGCCAGGCTTCTGAACTAATCTTAGCATGACCTTAAAAAAAAAAAAAAAAAAAAAAAAGGAAAGTTTATGGTTTCTATAATGAGGACTTGAATTTAGTTTTACAGATGAAACATCACAATTATAATCATTATTTTCTGATCTATGTTATGATGTTGGTTTCTCATCATAAACTTACCTGGAGTTGCTTTTTGTTTCATTTATACATGTTTAAGACACACACACACCTTGAATATTTCTTCTCCGAAAGAGAGACAGTGTTTTCAACTTGTGATGTCATGTTGTAATACTGGAAGTGCTCCACTCCATATCTTCACTAGAATCATTTGAATGTATTTCAGCTCAAATTGCCAAGATCTACTGAACAAAAACATAAAATGTAGCGGTCATCTTGAAAACTACTACTTCTTGACATCACAGGTTTAGACAAAGAATTTTGAGTTTTGGAGAAGTAGACAGCCTAATAATAAAAGTTTATGCAAACGTGTGAATGAAACAAAACACAGCTCCAGGTATGATTATGAAGTGTTTACAACATTATAACATTACTAAACACTCACAAGAGTCAATTTTGTGCAATATAGGACCTTTAACAAATGAAATGCATTAGCCCCAACCACTTACATATACTGGAATTGGAACTGTCATGTACATTTTTTGATGAATGTACATGACAGTCTGCCAAATATAAACTGTACTAGAAAAAAGCTCCTCCCAACAGCAGCCATAGCTTTTATGAATACTTAAAAAAGGTCACATAAAAGTATCTCATTATCACAATATTAGGTCCAGGTACTGTAAACATAAACAGTGACACATACCATTTGGAAGAGCTGCAGCATGGGCAACATCAGATATCAAAAGGGCCAGCAAAATACTGTGAACATAAAACACCAGAAAACACTTAAAGGTGCACTGTAAATTTTCAGTTCGGGGTTTGTCACCTTGCTTCCATGGGCTTCACTGCTCTGCTTAGAATGTTCCACAGCATGACATTAAACAGATTTACCTCACATTTATTTAATTACAGGTGCTTTTTTTGCTCAGAAATACTTTGAAAAACAAACATTCTGACTGTTGATGGGATTGCCTCTCTACAGACCTGACCTGGTTTTGTTTCCGTGATGATAGAAAGTTTTAATGTCATACTGTGAAACATTTCAGACAAAGCAATGACATCTCCATGGAGAAAAGCAGATGATGGAAACTCCTCCAGAAAAGTTACACAAAGCACCTTTAAAACTTGAAATAAAACTCAAATGCTGATACCTTGTCAGATGGACCACAGCTGACATATTTGTAGCTATCACCTTGAGTATGTGAACAATCAAAACACCAGCGTCTGCAGCTCTCCGCAGCAGAACTCTCAGAGGCAGGTGCCGTCCAATGGGAAAATGCAGTATTTCTGTATTTTCCACCCAGTACACAAAGCCAAACAAAGTGAGCCTCATAAAGTTCACTGGAGATGGTCTTTGGCACTGCTTCAAAAACAGGTGTCACCAATCAGGCGAGGCTGCAGCTGCCTCCACTCACCCTGATCAGACCTGGCACTAAACTAAACCAAAGCACTGCCAGATACGTACACATGGAGATGACTTCTTCTTCTGGAGAGTTTAATGGCGGCTTACATCCAAGAGGTTGTATCACCTCCAAAATTACAATACAGAGCAGAGTGGATCCGGTTATAATGTTTGGACAGTACTCAGCGCTAAATTAAAAGGTCCCATATTATGCCATTTTCTGATCTCTGTTATAATGTTGTTTCCTCATCACAAACACACCAGGAGTTGTGTTTTGTTTCATTCACATATGTCCAACACACTAACCCGGCATATTTAGGCTGAGTTCTTCTCTCACACAGAAAATGCTCTGCTCCACCTTGTGATGTCATGTGGTAATGCAGATGTGTACTCCAGTGTTTTTAACTCTCTACACCTTCACTAGAATCATTTGGATGAATTCAGCCCTGGAATTGTCAATCTCTACTGAACTAAATAGTAATGATAATAAATCTTTATTTATAAAGAACTTTTATAAACAAGGTTTACAAAGAAGCAGCAAAGAACAATAGAAAAAGCATAGAAAAAGCATAAAAATAGCATACACAAGGCATAAAAAACAGGCAATGATGCAAACAATGCAATAAATTATAATAAATAAATAAAAGAAATATAATAGAAATAAATAAGGGATAAAATCAAGCTAAAACCAGTTAAAAGAATCTAACCAATAAAAATGACTCTTTAGAAGTGATTTAAAAGATGATACTGATGGTGCGACCTCCTCAGGCAGGTCATTTCAAAACCGAGGTGCCCAGACTGAAAATTAATCGCCCTTCGTCTGGAGCCTGGACTTTGTAACAGCCACAGGGACCTGCCTGAGGATCTAAGGCTGCGGGAGGGCTCATACGGGGTTAAAAGTTCTGAAATGCAACTTGGTGCAAGACCTAAACGAGCTTTAAAAATGATCAGTAAACTCTAATAATCAGTTCTAAAACACACAAGCAGCCAGTGAAGGGAAGCTAAAACAGAGGTAATGTGTTGATGTCTGTTAAACTAAGTAAAGAGTCTAGCTGTTACGTTCTGAACCAGTTGGAGGCGGGAGATGGATTTGGACTCAATAAAAAGTAACTGTGTCAAGGTAAAAGGTAGCTATTAACTTGAAAACGACCATACTACCATCATAACATCACAAATTGGAACATAACATGTTGAGTTTTGGACATGTGGACAGAGTAATAATAAAGGTTTACTCAAATTCTCCAGGTATGTTTTTGATGTGGTAACAAAATGCATTCCTGTGAGCTGTAAACTACGTTAAACATTAAACACACCTGTCATGATAACAAATTTTGAAGTTCAATATATTGCTTAAGAAAATATGACGATAAACAATAACTGAAACTAATTCATGCCACTGACGCAATAACCCTAGAGAATAATTATCCCCAGAAATTCCAAATGTATAATAATATCGAAACTGTAAAAACACAAACTGTAATGAATAAATAGCAGAAGGAAACTGTTAGTTTGTATTTGAGTCATCCAAGTTATTTATTCAACCCTTTTCAGTACAAATCTAATAATTACAGAAAAGTAAGAAAAAGTACCTACAATAAATATCCTCAAAAATAATTGTTCCATCTGTTTTGAAAGATGAGTCAATATAATAATTATCATCAAAGGCCTAATTTGAGGTAAAGGAGGTACTTTTTTTCTTGCAGAGATTTCTTTTTAATCCATTAAAAAAAAATGATTTAACTATTCTAAAGTTATATCTGTTGGTGTAATTTTTCATTGGACAGTCTGAAGTGAAGTCAGAAGTTTGACTATTATTTGTTAAATAATACACATTACATAAAAAAAAAAAACATAAAAAGATGGGGTATACCCCTTTCAGATGTACTGCTGGTGTAATCTAGTCAAGAAAATTGTTGTGTTAGTGGTTAGTGTACAGAATACTAAGGATACCAATACCAATACCAATACCAATACCACAATGATAGTAAAAAAGTATTTTATAGACAATATAATGTCATTTTAACATAACATAATAATAGTTATTATTTGGTCTTTGGTCTGATATGAAGAAGACCATTCTAAAACTATTCAGTATTGGTAGTTTTCAGAGGTGTCACACTCCCAGACAGGGGCAAGGGCAGTTTTTTGTATTGAATACATTGTAATATATCTGAAAGGTAAATTCACAAATGTAAAAGCTGATACATTTATTTTTGTGCCTACACCCCATCGCTATATAACAGCAAAAATCTGGTTTTCATTCATATTAATTTTTGCTGCCCCCATCTGTATGAATTAAAAACGGCCTATAGATGTTGTGATCTCATCTGAAACATATCAGTTTTTGAAACCAATTTTAGCTCTAAAATGTAGTTTGAAAAATCACATTGTTTTTTCACACATTACTTGTAACTGTGAGTGATTGAAGTGTGACTGCTATTCCCTTCCTTCATCTGTATGTGTGCAGACCAGTGAGAGGGTGACCAGTCCAATTCAGTGGAGCGGAGCAGAGCAGCCCGGTCCAACTCTGCACCCTGACACAGCCCTGTAATGATGATGGATCTCCTCAAGGTGCTGTGTTTATGTTGCCTCTTTATTTATTTGTCCTTTCATTGGCTGTCAGGGAGGGTTGTGGTGTGGAGGTAGAGTAGTGGGGGGTTCCTTCTGGCTTTATTATTGAGATTTATATGAAGCATTGCAGCAATCTCAGCCCCAAGACAAAACTACTGGCCACAGATGGAAGGAGTCTGAATTCTGATAGTAAAGTTGTCTTTATAATGTGTTTATATGATTTCTGTTCTGCATATCCATATTTTAAAGCTTCACCAATTGATCTGCTGCTTAACCTTATCTTATGTTATTATCTTTACAATGTGTTTCTCCCATGGGTATGAACAATCAGCATATCAACTATTCTTATACTTTTGACAGTACACTTGAAGGCCACTAGGAGGCATTTGTTCATCACGACTTGAAATCATGCATTTGGTTTAGAGACAGACTGTATTTATTGTAGGTTAAAGGGATTTTGCTCTTTCTCAAGATTCAGATTATCAAAACCCTAGCCTTACAGAACTAGTGTTAAAGGTCCTATATTATACAAAATTGACTCTTGTCAGCTTTAAACCATGTTAGAATGTTGTTACCTCCAAAAAAACACACCTAGAGTTGTGTTGTGTTTTATTCACATTCATATTTACATTTGAGTAATCCTGCATTATTGGACTGTCTGCATCCCCAAAGCTCAAAATGCTCTGTTCGACCTTGTGATGTCATGTAGTGTTAGTTTTCAAGTTAATAACTACCTTTTACCTTTTGTTCAGTAGAGATAGGCAATTCCAGGGCTGAAATAATCCAAATGATTCTAAGTGTATAGAGTTTATGTGTTAAACATGTGTGAATTAAACAAAACACAACTCCTGGTATGTTTTTGATGATTTGATTTTAATTTAAAGTAAATTATTCAGCAAGTGAGTAGTATGCTTCAAATTTCCATGTGTTCAATGTCGTAATGAATGCCAAACATCGCTTTAAATCAGTGTCAGTGTCTTAACTCCATTTTAAGGCAGATGCTATTTACCGCCAGTCAAGGTTGAATTTATGTGACTGTACATATTATTAGAACTTTACTCACTCCATAAATCAATTGTACTAAAGCTGAGCCACTCTGTAGAATTAAAACACAAAATGTTTCTGTTTGATTTTCTCTCTCAATAAGTAGGGCAGATTTGTGATTAATCTCCTTTGAAATAAATGTATGCCGCTATATAAATGGCTTGGACCTCCGTCTTCTACAGTGATGGAGGATGTGAAGTGGTGAACAGCAGGCAATGCAAATGCTATCATCCATCTACTTAGAAACGCCTCAAAGATGGATTTAAACGCAATGCTACTGAGCTAATGGGCTAATTCAACTTTTGTGAAAAGTCTGTCCAAATGCGTAGGCTCATTAATACTTTATTTAAAACTACTACTCTACTCATTAAGTAATACATGCAACAGTTTGCCATATGGATCACTAGAGTTTAACCACTGCGAGATAGGTGATGTATCCCAAAACATATCCTTTTGCTTAAAGGTGCACTGTGTAACTTTTCTGGTGGAGGGTCCGCTACCTACTTTTATCCATGGAGATGTTATTGCTTTGCTTGGAATGTTTCATTGTATGATTTTAAACATATCCATCAAGTATTTATTTATTACGGGTATTTCTGTTACTCAAAAATACAATAAATTCTTCTGTGAATAGCGGCGACTCTCCACACATCTGAACTGTAATGTAAGTGTAAGTGTAGTGCTGTAACCTGCTTCTCCCCCTCGTGATAGATTGGTTTAATCTGTACTGTGGAACATTCTAGACCAGTGTTTCCCAGTGTTGCTTTTTTTTTCTGGGCACCCATATTTTAAAAGTCACAAACCTTCACAACCGAAGTCAATAGACATTAATCACAAATTAAAGTGGATTTAACCATTATTGAACATTAATGAGGATATTTCATTGTTGACTGAGTGATCGCATCTCTTTAAACAATTAGTATTACTCAACATTTCAATGAAACAATGAAAAATAGTAATTGAACCAGCAATAAAAGGTATATTTAAGTCACCTATTTGGACATTAAATGTAGCCCATTTATTTTTCTTTTCAACATTTAATTGAATCAGAAATATTGGAACAAAATAGTCTCTAGCGCTCTCATGTGTCAGAACTATAGATTGCAGACCTACATGCAGATCGTGACAAGGTGACCCAAAAAAATCTCTTGTGACCCACCTGAGGGTTGCGACCCAGTCTTTGGGAAACAATGTTCTAGGCAAAGCAATAACCTTTCTGAGGTAGCGGACCCACTAGAAATGCTACACAATGCACTTTTCATTTACACTAGACGTCGTAGGTAACAGGTCTTGTTTATTATGCCTTTCAATTGGCACTTTTCAAGCAGTAAAATAAGCAAAATATTTCATAATGTGTTCTATTGTAGTAGA